GGTTCCATGTTTGAAATGTTGCTTTAAAGCCTTTCTTCACGCCAGCTTCTCACAGACCCTGCGAGGCGTCACACACTGCGGGATGAAACACAACTTACAGGTGGTGTGATGTCGAATGCCCGTGAAAAGATCCAATCCGAAGGCTCGGAGAGAAGCTTCTCCCACGTGCTTTTCATGGGCATGCTGTCGAACCGATTCCATCCAGGGGTTTGGGTCTTTTTGCCTGGTGACATCGTGGTGGGGAGAGCAGCGGTTTATGCCTCATCTAGTGAGGCCAACCGGGTAGTTGTCCAGACAACCGATGCGGCCAAGCGGCCCCCCCTGGGAGTCACCCATGCTGTGACTGCATAGAGAGGAAACGGCCAGAGGTACCACACCGAAGACGAGCCAGCTGAAAGGTGTTTTTCATGTGGCGACACAACAGGTGTTCCTCGCACTTGGGGTGTCTCCCAAAAGCTCTCCGCTGAACAGATATTCTCAATCAAAGAAACGTCGAAACTGCAGAGGGTTTCCTTCCCACCCAAGAGCAGGCGTTTCGATCGCGAAGAAAACACGTTTTCGGTCTTCGATGCTCTTGAGGAAGAGGACATTGTGGGTGTGGATTGAAAAGACATCCCTTCAAATGACCGTAGGTTGGCATTTGTGGAACCATGTGGAAGCCTTGTGTCGCTCCTTCCTCCAGCGAAGCAACCCCTGATGAGCGGATGATGACCGAGGTTTTGGGGCTCAGGGAGTACTGGAGAGTCGACAGTCTTTCTATTTTTATAGGCACAGGTGCTGGAAGTGCAGTTCTTGACATGACTCTTCTGACCGCATGCTGCAAGCTGCATGCTGCTTGAATCGTGAGGACTGACCCCCCTGCAACTGCCGTGAAAGGCCTGATTTGAACCCAAAGGCGGTACAAATCAAGGTGATGACCCCATGAAAACGCGCACAGGTGCTGGGTCACTAGAGAGCATGCAAGCCGGGCCCAAGAAGCCCAAACACCTCATCCGTGCAGCTCGTCCGTCGAGAAAGCTCACCATCCAAGTCCCGAAAAGGCTCCTTTCTCTTCCTCCAAACCGATATCGCTCTTGGTTTCCCGCATTTGTTCGCTGGGTTTCCCATGGTCGCCGGAGCTGGTTGCTGTGAGCTCCACAGCCGCCATCCTTCGCACCGCATCCTTCGCATCCTCGCGACTGTTGGAGTGAAGTTGTCTGGCCAACTTGCAAGAGATGCATCGGACTTTGGTGGTGATCTAAACGAGCTTTTGGGTGACAGAATCTCCCAGGATGCCGAGGTGTGCCAGAGAGGTCGTCAGTGGCTGCCTTTCATGGTTCAAGCTCGTCTGCCAGTATCCAGTGTGATAGGAACAACAGCCATGAAACGCCGTGGATCCGAACGAAAAGGGTCAGAGCAGCATCCAAGCATCCGTGGATGGCTCTTCGCCTCTCTGTCCTTCCACACTTTACCTGGCCGTATGAGATGAGCAGGTCCAGCTGTGTTCGTTGGTCGCGGCCCAAGCAGCGAAGAAGAAGGGGGGGGCGCTCCTTGTATTCGAGGAGCAAGAAGTCCCAGACTTGAGACGGCTCGAAGATGTGCCTTCGCCATTTCGAACAAGATGTGCAAACTTCTTTGTACTCCGATGGAGCCAAAGGCCAGACCCTTTGACCCTTTCGCTCGGCCTGATCCTCAGAGCAGATTCCAGACCCGAAGCCAAAATGACCCAAAGGCTTGAAGAGCGCATGGATTTCATGGATCTAAATAAACCTGGGTTAAATAGACCCGATAACCAGATTGAATAGAGACTTTGTTGAATCATCTTCTACTAGGTCACTCCAATCTCGTGGATGCAACCTGTTGTGTCCAATCGATCATTCAGCTAGATGAGGCGACTTGGTGGATTTTCTACGAGCCATGGTTTCATTCGGGTTTCATTCGGTTTCATGGAGACCTCCTAGATCGTGCTACTTCGAGTGATCATCTCCTGAGGAGACCTCCCATGACCGTCATCCATCCGGTGACTCCTCACTTCGCCTAGTCAGGTGCATAGTAGTGCATAGTCAGGTGTCCAAACTGAAGAGCTCATCCTTGGTGTTTCTGTTCCGAAGAAGGACCACATGCTTCGTTCGATGGCGAAGGGCGAAGCTGCCACGCCCAAATCACCCAAAACCGCCTGCTTGGTGGGCCCTGATGCGGAAGCGGTCACAAAGGGCTTGGCTTTGGAAGCACGGAATCAGTCTCGGGGTGGTGAGAACCGAGTTCTTGATACAACTCGAGTCACGAACTGCATTGCTTCAGCTACATGAGATCTCCCCTGTACCAGGTGTGGTTTGTGACGCCTCACTTCTTCATGGGTTTTTAGAGCAAGATACCATGATGTCGCATTTGGTTTCTTCTTTATACACGCGAGAGACCTCGATAGATTGGCCTCGAAAGTGCAAAACTGCTTGGCCACTTTCGGCAAGGGTATGGATTTTGTCAGGCTAACTGACCAGGATAAGAAATCTATAGCAGGAAACAACTGGATATCTGACTGCTCCAACCCAAAAAGTCCTATTCAAGCTATCAGTTTAGATTGCCTGCGCCAATGCGCTGCTACGTGCGGCTATCCTGGTGTTCTGGTGCGTCCACGTGCCCGTCTGCCAATTCTTCTTCAATAGAGCAAGATGCCACGGTGTTGCATTTCGTTTCTTCTTTATACATTGAGAGATCTCGATAGATTGGCCTCGTAAGTGCAAAAATGATAGGCCATTTTCGGCAAGGGTAATTGATTTTGTGAAGCTAATTGACCGGGATAAGACTTCTATAGCAGCAAGAAATTGGCACGACTGCTCCAACCCCAAAAGTTGGAGACTCACATAGTGGCATGAAGCCAATTGAACCTGGTCAAACTTGAAGCTTCCGAGAGAGCGGGTCTTACGTTCTTTAAGACACACAATAAAGTGCCACTTTTGGGCAGCACTTCGGTGTTTGCCTGCCTTGATTCGCAGAAGTGGTCAGGATGAAGAGCCCTTTTTGCACCTTGACATGAGGATTCTGCCAGGTACATCTCAATGAGTTTGACCTGTGATTTTCAATGTTCAACGCTGAAAAAGTATTGGTTCTTTTGGAAGATATGGATTTGTAATGTGTGTGTATGCATGTATATATGCATTCTCTAGGTTCAATGAGACAATTAAGTGTGACTGTACATTGAATGTGCATACACACTTCGAACTTGGTTTTCAGTTAGACTCAATTGGCACGTTGGGAAGGAAGGCGGTAGAACAGCATGGCGAACAGTCCGAGAATTTGTAGGTGTTTTAACATAAAGTGTTTCTCGAGTCTGCAGAGAACGAGCGGCGCGCTGCGAGTCGGCTGCAAAGCTGAGCTGCAAGAAAATCCGCGGGTTTGGGGGAGAAAACATGAAAGACCATGGAAACAAACCGATCGAATTGGACAGCGTGAGCAACAGTTTCTTGGCAGGTACACGGTCAGACGCCTCTGACCGCATCCCATGACATCACTAGCTTCGTTGGCCAGCGTCGTGATGTCATGCGCTGGCCCCCGGCTGCATGAAAACGAGTGGAGAAAGTGGTACGTGTCGCAGTTACAGTGGATGGTAAGAGAGTGGAAACCCTTAGAATCAGGGTGTGACACACACACACACAGGCGTGGACCACTCTGGAGAAAACAGCAGTTCGGGAGGACCCGAAAAGGAGAGATTTGAGTTAAGACATGCACACTTATTGGCAACATAATGACATGGTGTGCATAGACGCAATTGCATGTTGGTCTCTTTGTAAGTCCGTGCATGGAGAAGACTATCCACCAGACTGAAGAGCACTTCAGATTTCTTGCCGCTCTGGCGGCTCTGGCCCTGCTTCTTTCGAAGCTTGCCATCACTGATATATATATTTATATAAGTTCAGCACGGCATGCATAAACTGTGGCCAATTGTTCTACCCTGGGAAATTGGAGTGGGCTTGATTGAGCCTTTGATATACAGGCGCATGCACCTGTACCCTGGAGTTTGTATTTTTTGTCGTCCTGTCATGAACGAGCCGTGGTATAGGCCAGGTGTGCGGTGCAGGTAATCTACTTTATATATATATATATATCTACTAATCTACTTGTTTCAACCATCACTGAGTTCCTTCCGGGCCTTTCTGTTTCTCTGTTTTGCACATCCCCATATTCCGGGCGTTATCCCTTTTTCGGACCCGGAAGCCATGTTCGTTCGGGGTTCTTGAAATGGACGGACGTCGTACTCATCCAACGTCGTCGTTGCTGGATGTTTCAGAAACAAAGGAGTTTTGTGTGTGTGGTATATGAGTTGAAGTAGAGACAAAGCAACTCTTCGGAGAATGTTTGACGAGAAAAGCCCGCAGATGCTCTCTCGAGCCCTGCTTGAAAGAAAGGTGAAACATGTGTTTGAGAGCAGGTGGACTTGATCTCGCTGCCCACCATTGAACCTGCAGTCAGTTGGATCAGCTAAGATGTTTGTATTGCTTAGCATTGAATTTGTGCGTTTGCCCAAACGAAACAAAGGACTGAACATTTGCCTGCTTAAGGTGGAGTCACAGGACGCTAACACTGAATTGGGCTCTTTAAAAGCGGTCCTTGAAACTTCCAAGACTTGTCTTGGGTTTTGGCTGAGAGGCGCAACCACTGGGGCTGATGGCGAACTTCTCGTGCCGAAAGAGTTGGAAGCCAACGTCAATGTTTGTCAGGCTCAGAAGGTCTCACGAATTCCGGGACATGCAGCAGCACTAAAAACACGGAGAAACCCTTTGCATGAAGAAAAGGATCAGTGATGGCCAAGATAGAAGAGCTTTTGATGACTCTTGGGTAGCCAAAAGAGCACTTTTATCCTCTGCTGAGAATGTTCTTGATGCCTTTGAGGTGAACATGATTCACTGTAACTTGATGGTGGAGATATTTCTGTTACCAACAGGATTTGCTTTCCTTGGATCTATGTCCTGTTCCAATTCTTTTCTTGCTTGACCTCATGTTCTTTGTTCTTTCTCTGTTTTGAGGCATTCTCCCCCCTTTGTGAGACCTCCAAGCGGTTTGCACGGGCGCGCGCGCCGCCATGGCGCCGTGCGAGAACATCCGGTGCGGTGCGTGCGGGTGTTCTCCGCTGTGGAGAATTGCATGGAGATCCTTGAGCCTCTTGGCGTTGGATTTCTGACGGAAGATCTCCCATTTGCCGCGTTCCTTTTCTCAGCCTGGCAAACAAGCACGATATTTTCGCGCGATCGGGTTGTTGCTCGGGCTGCTTGAAGCACAGGGTGACCTCGTGGGACTTGTAATTTCCTGTTTAAGGGGAGGCATTTCGACATGTTGTAATTTTCCCACTATCTATATATATATATTACAGTATATAGTTCCGCAAAATGACAGGGCAACTGTGGTAGAAGAAAAGGTACAATATTGCGCAGTGCTTCGGAATCCAGTCATGCTGAAAGAGCCTTTTCCAATCCTCTTTTGCATTGTTTGGTGTATCTCCAAAACAGGTGGGCAAACATCACACATGATGAGACCGTGACCCTTCGCGGGCCGAAGCCTTCACCACGCATCGCTCGCGCGTAGTCATTCCTCCCAGGTAGTCATGGCAGTGGAATTGCGGGACTCGTGGCCTTTCAATACATCTCTTTCAAACACATGCTCAGTCGAGTGGAAGTCTCCACCGAGAGCTCCAAGTTGCTCTGGTGTGCCGTCTTGGCCATTGCGCCTTGGAGTGCTGGATTGTCCCTGGTCTTTAGTATTTGGTTCCGCAGGGCCGAGCTCTGACAGAAGCCAAGACATCCTGTGCTTTTGGGCGCCATCCTTTGTTCCGCCACAGCCAGATGTTCTTGCACACCTCCCAGGTTCTTTTGGAAGACATCCCTGAAAGATCCACCACAGTGCAACCTTACTACTGTCTGGTAAGTTGCCATCCGGTTTGGCGTAAATGGTTCACCTTTTCGCAAGCATATCTGTTCGTCATTACTATATTGCACCCTTCATCCAATTCTCCAGGTTCACCCACAGTTTTGGTTTCCCAGGCATCATTCACGTGTGTGGCGGTCTATGCAAGTTTCTGGCACATCTTGCAGGACCAGGTTGCTGGAGTGATTCAATCGGTCGCCCTGCGAACATCGACCAAAGGGATCCTCGACGTTTCTCGCCAAACTCTTTTGAAGACTTTCTCTCAAACTCTCTCCCCCCCAAAACTGATTGCTCGTTGCGCCGGCCGCAACGCTCGGCGAGGACTACGTGCGACGTGTGGCCATTGAGAAGGCCATGTCCCAGGGCTTTGGCGTGCGCTTCCCTGGTCCGGCACAGCTGCACCAGACGCGCCTGGGACGTTGCACCATCCTGTGGCTCGGTGAAAGGGTGAAACGGGTAGGAAACGTGAGGAAGGGTAGGAAGGCAAACTGGAATTGGTTTCCTTTCTTTTGGTTTTCCGGGCAGAAGGGCGAGGTTCGCGAATTCTCAAAAAGAAAGATCCAGATCTGACGTTCCGGAGAAGGTCTTCAAAAGAAAGACGCTCCCGGCGATCTCCAATAGAGCAGGACATCAGGATCATGTGTCGTCCAAGGTTTCTGCAGGAGGCTTCTACAGCTCGATGCTCTAGATTGGGTGATCAGTATCGAAGATCTTCTACCAAGTGTGGGTATATAATTACTATCACTGTACAGTTTGTTTCTTGCTATATATTTTTCCTCTACGTGGAGCTTCCCGGTCAGTGTCACTCCGAGGCTGGCTCTTTTAAACATGATCATCTTGGTGGCAGATCTGGTAAGAAGCATCTGGCGAGAAGAGACGTCAAGACCGGATCAACTGCGAATTGATTGGGAAGTCCTCTCAAGAACTGTATCCGGAGCAGCACCGAGCAGAATTGCTTGCAGAAAGAATACTGTGACATGATTTCCTGCTTTCAAGTGATTCTCACAACATTAACATGTCATACACAGCACACAGATCTATGTTCATACGCAACCATATCCATACCTATACAAAGACGTGGATGGTCTATGCAGGTGATCTAGAGATACATACGTCAACCCGTAGCATTCCTTTCTTGATGTTGTACCCACGCAACAGGCAGTGAGGGCTGTTGTTAATCAGCAAGACCGGAATGAGCTAGAATTGCACATCACACCCTTTGTTGATGATCCTGAAAGGGAAGTGGGCATTCTTCCGCGTACAGACCATTGAAGATCAATGCTTGTTTCACTGAGGGAAGACCAACCCATTACGAAGTATCCATTCTGTTGCACTTGAGAATCCAAAACCTACTTCAAATCGGACAAACCAAGAAAGAAGGACACACACACACACACACCACAGGGATGGTCCGGTGCGGACATCAATTGTGGCAATGATGTTCCTAGTAGCTTCTTGTTACTACTAGTAAGGCACTTGTTACTAGAAGCGATGCACTTGTTCCTACTAGCTTCCTACCCAACCCAGCAAATGATGAGGCACCTTTGATGATGTACTTGCGAAACCTCTCCTCCATTGCAACGTCACCCTCGTACCCCTGGCACCAGTTCCAGCGCCTTGCCAGGGATTTGGTGAGTCAGGTCATGTTTGTCCGTGCCAACTAACTTTCAATCTAAGAAACAATTCATCCGACCTTGGCACCGAATCTGACCTTTGGACGATTTTTTTGACGGCTCAACATCCATAAACCTTTTCTTTCGACCGATCTGCCGTGGAGAAATGGAAAAATGCGACATCTCCAGGTGGCTTTTGCAGCATCCACTACCTCTCCACGAGCTCTTAGCCTCAGCTGAGATGGATGGGGAACGCAACGACTGCTGGCACAGGACGGTCCCTTCGGTCCATTTCCTCCAGGAAACGAGCGGTGTCTTCCACTTCCGATTGTTCTGAAATCGCGTCGAGCCGATCCAGGGGTGAACACGACCCCGCAAAACATGAATAGGCAAGATAACTAAAGATAAATGTCTTCAATTGGATATTCTTCTTGTTGGAGGACATGACGTATTTGAGGAGGAATCTACCCGCAAACATTTGTGGACCTCTATGGGACTGGAGGTCAGTTTGTCTCATCGTTTTGATGGCCAAACAGTTTGTCTCATCGTTTTGATGGACAAACCCACTCAACCAGCCCTTGAAAGGCGGAGATGCAAAGAAGCAAAGTTTTGTTGAAGCAAGGAGAGAGTTTAACAGTTTTTGAGCAAACACTGCAAAGCTTTGGATCCATTCAAATGCAAATGACACTTCACAGGGTTTGCCTTGCAGAATTTGTGGAAGTGGTAGCTTTGGCAGGATCTCTGCCGCTCTCTCCCGCAGGGGCGTGCGTTCCTCGGCGGGGATCGAACTTCGCAATCTGAATCCGGAGGCGGAAGAAGCTTCTGATGTGAGTTCAGTCATGGAGGCGCCGGTGCCCACGGTTTCGGCCGCTCCATGGCCGCTCTTGTGTTATTTGCGTCCCCTGGTTGCGGACCGGCCCTATGCCTGCCACATGCACGCGTGCCTTGCGGTGGGGATGCTGGTGATCTTTGCCACAGTCCTCCCAACATGGCTTTGGCGGATTTATGAGCACAGCTTCATTCCACAATACCTCGACCTTCACGTGGAAGGTGGGCGTTTTTTTTTTTGTCAGAGATGGTTGGTACACCCCGGATGAAGAATCTAGCGTGGATCTTCGAATCAAGTTCCCTGATGGAAAAGAAGCACCTTGAAACTGGTCGCAGGTGGCACCATAAAACTGGCAGATCGGGCTGTGGATGGCGTTGACTACTGGCTTCTTCCCTTCGACCAGCCTCGGCTCCTCCTGCGCCTGAAGCCGGATGTGTCCACGGCGAGCAGATTCTACAAGTGCCCCAAGGAGAATGTGCTTTCTGCTTTTTTTCCATCCGAGTAGGCACGGAGAATGTGGTTTACATTCATTTTGGATCGGAGGAACACCACATTTTTCTGAGGAGTTAGGTCTCACATTGTGGCCAACCTCTCTTTGCATCAGTTCTTTTTTTTCAGCTTGTTGTTCTAATCAAAACCATCTCGCCGACCCGGCCAGGACATCTGCGAACCGGCCATCGAACGAAGCTTTCAGATGCACCACTCGAAGATGGATCCCATCGAAATGGTCTTGACCGAGGACTCCGGTTTTCCTGACAGGTTCAACCAGAGTTTCCCCTACCCCAGTCATGAGGTGATGTTGACTTGTAGAGTCGCAGAGAAGCATCTTATTTATGGTTCAGATAAGATGGTGCACACTCCCCCACTAAGGACTAAAACCGTTTGGCCTCCTTTCGTTTCGTTTCTCAGGAACACTTCGGGCACCGGAGCTCCTTCGAGCTGCGGGGCTTCTTTCGACGGAAGGTCTACGTGGGGGTGGTGGGCTTCGAACGGATCTGGATGAAACTGGGCATGGATCTTCCCCAGACCTTGGAGATGTTCGGCAAGAACTGCTTCGCCAAACCGCTGGTCCGGCGGGACGTTTTGTTCCCCAAAGACGACCACCTGACGGCGGAGCTCGGGTTTGGAGCCAACTGGGATTTGATGGAGTTGGTCTGGACTCCTGAGCTCACGGTGCACCGTTTGGATCGGAACCTCAAGCGGGAAAGCAGCACACAACTGGCATGCGAAGCGCTCGGGCACGATCACCTGTTCACCTGCCGGGGCCTCTCGTTTACGACTCATTGCCCAGCTTCGTGCGATTTGGTGGTCAGGAAGCTGAAGGTCAAACCGAGAAAGCTGGTGGACCGAACCTCCACCGAGCGAAGCTTCAGTCTCACGGCACAAATCCGCGATACAGAAGGCTTCTTCTTGGCCCCGCTGCTCGAGAAGCAGAAGGCGGTGGAAGTGCTTCGCTTGACGAGCGGAGCGCATCCCAGCACAGAGATGCTGAAAGCAGTGGCAGCGCGAAACAATCTGCTGGCCGAAGCCTATCGAAGCTTCGGAGCTGGAACCGGGAGTGGCTCCGGCGAAGCCCGTCGAAGTACCAGCCTCCTTTTGACGGGGTTGACGTGTGTGGGAAAGTCCTCGGCCTGCTATTTCCTGACCAACAATGAGACCTGTGAGTTTTCCAACTCCTTGGAGTCTCACACGAACTCCGTCTTCCAAGTGACCGGGCATGCGTTTGAAGATCGGATGCAACTGATCTTGAGAGTCTGGGACATCCCGGGATTCGGTGATACCAAGGGAGAGGAGAGTTTTCAGGAGCAGTGGGCACAAACGATGGCGCACCTGGCGGAGCATGAGACCGGCTTGGATTGCATTCTTTGGGTTGTGAATGGGGCCATCCGGCGAAAGCTCGCAGTGCGTAGGGAGATGCTCCGACACTATCGCTCAGCCTTCGGTGCGTCGTTCTACAGCTACCTGAAAGTTCTGGTGAACTTTGTTCCCATGACAGACGAAGCATCACATCAGATCCTCATGCATGAGTGGATCCAACAGTTTCGAGACTTCATCATTGAGGAGGAGAGCGGAATGGGCTCGGCAGTAGAACATGGTGTTGGGGGGGGGAGCTCAAAGTGGTGTCTGTGATATTTTGGTCTTCTATCTGGCAAGCAAAAGTTTGTATGGGCTTTGTTTTGCAGGGCACTTGTAGTTACATTGCAGTTTTGGAGTGGAGGGTTCTACACAAAACCAATTTGCTTCAAATAGTAGATTGAAGTGGAGCACACTTTAGGCCTGAAGTGTGCTTCGTGAAATATTCAAGATAGTATCGTTGATCCAGCTGGCCCAGCTTGAAGTCAGCTTTCTGGATACTGTGGGCGAAGCAGTTCCCAAAAGACGCGCCTTGAAGCTTGCGTCACGTTCGGTCTTTTGTTACGGGTTGTGACTGAACCTCCAATGTCAAAGGGGGGTTGCATTGGATACCCGTTGAATTTGGCCACAAGTGGTGTAGAAAACACGTCAGACTGGTCATTTGGGGTTGTCCTTCCGGCCGCTTTCCAGGAGAAGGAACTGCTGAGAGATGACTGGGAGCAGCTGGAAGAACGAGTGGTCACCGCCGTCAAGGAGAAGCTGTCGATCCTGGTGGTGGACTTGAACCCCTCCTATTTGACCGGACCGGAGAAGGCCGAGAACCCGCCGCCGCTGACATCCGGCCGTTCGGGCCTGGGCCGGAATGTGCCTGTGTGGGCTCGGGGGGATACACTGAATGCTTCAAAAGAACAAGCGGATCTGACCCACTCGAACGAGGGGAATGTCATACGTAGGACCGTAGGACTTGACTCTTTTTGTTGCCTCCCCATTCCAGGTGCTTTTCATCCCAGTTGGTGCAGAGAAAGCTGCGAAGCGTAGGACCTAGATCCCAACAGAAGCACCGGACCACGCACCTGTCACCTTCCAACTCGCCACCTCCTCTTAAGCACCGGACCATGCCTTCCACTTGGAGGTCGAAGTTCCACTCTCAGCGCCGTTGGTGAGTCGGATACCTCCCTACAGCCAACCAGTGAACCTGCCAGATCTTCTGCAGCTGGTGGAGGACAGAATCATCGAATCCAGCGCACCGCCGCGCGCATGGAACACCTCCACCATCCTTTGCTTCTGAAACTTTCAGTCCGAAGCAGATCAAGACAGCCCCGTTTCCCTTCTTTTGGGACCTAAGATCAGTTGCCACCATCCTTCGGTTTTTTTGCCCCTCTCCCCCCCCGAGGAGCTGGGCGCGTCGAGCTCCGGATCACGGGCGCTGTATCGGGCGCCGCTGGCGATCCGCCCCAGCTGTCCACGGAGGGGCTTCGCAGAGGTGGAGGCTGAAGCCACGGCGGTGGAGATCCACGGGGAGAGCCATGAGTTTCAAATCATCGTGAGGAGCCCTCCCCAAAAGTGGGTGAGTTTTGTGTGCTTTTCTGATGCTTTTCAGTTTCTTTTCGGTTGAAAGCTGTGTGTTCAAGTGAATGATAGTCCAAGATTTTCAATCCGACGGGGTTGGTTGTTGAATTGGTCCTTCGCAGTGGCCCCTTTGTTGGAAGTTTTGAAGATGAGCCTCAAGAGGATAGCAAGTCATACCAAAGGAATGGTTGACGAAGCAGCTCATTCGTTTCTCTTTCCTGGTGTGAGGATAGTCGGGAAGTATTTGGGGAAAGGGGATGGATTGCTGGCGCAGTCGGCAGATGAACCTTGCGGCAAAGGAGCTGATGTCGTCCAAAAGAGTTTTGATTTTTTGGCGAAAGGAGCCACGGAAGCGGCTGCAAGGTTGGCTTTTCGAGATCGAACTTCTGCCCTCTAGACACAACTGACCGCGAAGTGGACTATGCACAGGTTTCACGAGGTTTCTCCATCCCCTGCAAACCTTCAGATGTTCTGAATCGGCTTTGCTTTTTGGCTCCACTTCACAGGACGCCTCTACTTCGCGCTGAATCCAGCGGAGGACAACCACACCAATCATACAGTACTTGGAGGACAACCCACCTGGAGCTTCTCTCAGCTGCGGAAGGTCACACTGACGGAGGGTGTGGGACCTTTGAAGCTCTGCTTCTGTGAGGCACCAGGCTGTGGACCGGCTGCTCGCAGCGACGAATGGCCGGAACTGCCCATGGCGCGCTACTGCCAGGCGGAAGCGGGCCCAAACCGCCCGGCTGTGACCCATGAAATTGGGTGTTTGGGGATGATGGGGTACATGGGCACACCTTTGTAGCAGTACTTGGTTCTGCCGATAGGGCTTTTAAGGGTCAGGAAGTTTCAAAGATACACATGAATACAATCATACAAATCCTCTCCTTCTCCTTCTCTCTCTCTCTCTCTGTCTTTTGTGTGCTCAGCAAGGTAGATCAGGTAGACTGAAGCAAATCACCCCCTTCCACTTAAAAGTTCTGAATTTTACCCTTTGTCATACATGTTTTTCTGACCCCCAAGCGAAAGAGATTAGCTTCGACCATTGGTTCACAGCTCCCTTCCAAGATCTTCACGATTTTCTCAAGATTTTCACCTCTTCGAGCGCCAGGATGCCGGCACCTTTCCTCTCATGGGGCACTTGGAGGTTCCGGCTCTACAGCCTGCTGTAGAGCCGCTGGCGGTACACCGGTGCCTTCGGAGCTGCGTGGCGGGTGAGACGACGTTGCGATGTGCAGTGCCGTGTGAGCTGGGACACTGGAGGGTGAGCTGCCAAGAGGCGAGGGATGACGAGAGGGTCGATGAATTGGCTGGTTGAGAACAGCCAGCGACTTATATGGTGGGGCAAGTGTGGGGCAGAAAGCATACTTGAGGATTATGTCATATCATGTTGGGATATTTTTGGGATTTTTTTGGTATCCCAGTGAACTGAGAGTTTTGCCATCAGTTTCTGCTCAAGATGAGGAGCTGGGAGCTGAGGTGCTTGTTTTCCTGGATTCCCTGTTTGAAACAGAATCTGCAAGTGGTTAGGTCATGTTATATCAAATCTTGTGTGCCCTCACCTTCCACGCAAACGATCCTTCCTTACTGCGTGAAGAGCTTCTCGAGCCTCCGGGAATGGAGGATGGACCGGTTCCACTCGTCGGAAGGATCGACCACCACAGATGTTGACAGGTTGACAGGTTGGCTGTTTGACGGGGCATGAAGAGCAAGCCAAATTGAGGGGATCCCATTTGAGGGGGTGCCCTTTTGATGTGCTACGAGGTAGGATGCGGGTACTGAATGTACGCACTGAGCCGTGCGCATGAAATGCAAGACGCACGACCAACATGGTAGGTCTCTATTCACCAAAATGGCAGCTTCTACTTGGCGCCTTCAGCTAGAGACCAAGAACGACGTTGTGAAATCCCTTGCGCTGGCCCTGGTGCAGAGGGAAGCCAGAAAAGACATCTCATCTGGAGCTCTGGCCGCATTTCTGGAAGTTGTGATCCTGAGAGCCTTGGATTACTTCAGCCTTATGACACAAGTGGCAGGTGAATATTAAGTTGATTGCATACCGGGCCGCAACATCAGCTTGGAAGTCAAACCTTTGCAGGGAACGGCAAGGAATCATTCCCATATCTTTGAGTCTGTTCCCACCTGATGGCTTCAACATGGTTCGGACATCGCATGACATTGCCTGACATCCGAAAATCGAGATCTCAAAGCGCGAAAAGAGTGTTTGCGTCCAAGAAGCTTTAACTGTCAATCACGAGCTATTCAACCAAGTCGGTATTTTACCATGATCCCTTTGTCTCTCTATATATTCCACTACCTTGACTCAAGAAGGTTGGTGTTGCCTTTCTTCAGGGAAGCCAAAACGTGGTCCAGATTCAGTCATGCAGGAATGGATTACAAGGTCCTTGAAGACGAACTTATCACTCTGGCTACGAACCAAGTAATGGAACAGGGTTTGAACTTCATAGTATATAGAAAACATTAATGTTTAGATGTTCACCACCTTCACGTCTTAGGGCGACAACCCCTGTTCTCGTGCCAGACCCGTTTACTCTTCAATGACATCCAAGGAGATCTGAGGCAGTCGGTGAAGCTTGGATTGGAACTTCGGAACTTCGTGGAGGTTTTGAGTGGACACCAAGACCACTCAATTTCAACTGGCATTTGGTATATATATAGTATATAGTCAGTTTTTTTCATCTCTCTCTATCTATCTTTTTTCCTTTTTCTCGCTCTCTCTCTCTCTCTCTTGAGTGTGTGTCTGCATGTGTGGGGTTGGATAGGCGTGTGTGCTGCTTGCATTCACATGTGATTAAGATGGTGAAGTGCACATCTAAACAAGTTGCCGGTGGAGATTGAGATGGCCAAACAACCTGATAATCAGATCGTCAAAGGTGTGAATGACGACCCAAGCGCCTTGGCACAATGAACTACTTTCTGTCTGTGTGCACTAGGGTGCGGTGGACCGTGCCAGCATGGTTGGAATCTTCCTGACACAAAGGATTTTGACCAAACCCAACAGAACCCACCCCCCCCACCCAACCACCCACCTGGACGCTCACAAGGATGGCATCCAGGAGGAGGGCGCCAAGGCCTTAGCCTTGGCATTGCCTTCGAGCTCGTTGACTCGGCTGGACTTGAGTGCTCACGGTGCCTGGGACGAGTCGGTGACCACGCCCCCTCCGGGCCCGGACGGCGAATCCAGGGATGGCTTGCAGAAACTCTGGAGGGCTGGCAGTAATTTCTGGTTGGTTGGGATTTGTGAAGTGTGTTCGTTTGATGCCGAGGTCCAAAGCATAAGTCTTCCCCACGTGTACCAAGCATCATGCAAGCTGCATCTGAACCTTTATGATGTCTGTTGCCCACTGTCTTTCCTTGTCAGACTTGGACACTCCAGAAAGCTAACATGGAACCTGAAAATTGACCTTTGGGAGACTATTTTCCTCTACAACCCAGCGGTTTTGAGGTTCCATGTTAATCTTCCCGGGTGTAATTGGTGCAAGATTAGCACGAAAATGTTTTGCTAAGAATCGGATATCTAATATTCTGACTCATTTCCATCGTTCCTTTGGAACGTCCATTGGATTCCTCCGTTGTCTCCACCCGGCGGATGAAACATGCATCATCCTCGACCACAAAACAAGAGAACTATTTTTTGGGGAACTTCGTGAAAACCAGAGCTACGCGAGGTGTTGTACCACGAGTAGAGAACTCCCTTTTTCGTGCATCACTGGGAGCAAGTGATGCGACGTCCTTGAACCATGGTGAGCACTCTCAACTGTCCATGATGCGGATGATGGTGAGCATTCGCAAAGCGCTGTCGACACTTAGTAGCCGTTCTTGTCAGCCGAGAGGGGACATGAAGCACACCACCGCGACACTGGCCTTCGCACCTTTTCGAAGCCGAATGGGCCGAAACCCGAGGACTCTCCGATGCCGGAGTGAAAGCTTTGGCTAAAGCCTTGCCTAAGAGTCAACTGACTGAGCTGGATCTGACCGACAACGGTGCCTGGCCTGGCCGACTACGGGAGAACCGACCGAGTTTCGAGTCCGTCGAGATCGATCCAGCGAAAGATGGAAGAGCTTCGAGAGAACCGGTTGGGCGGACGTTGAGTAGATAGATAAAGATATAATAGATGCTTTTCCAATCGAGGCTCTTTCAAAAATGATAGGCCTGTCGAACCGGCAATATAGTAGCATTTTTGTGACGCTTTCCTTTCTGCCTCAATCTTTGGCCCCCAAACCTTTTCGACTTTGGGGGAGGAAACAAGCAAGGCTGCACCGAGGTGATTGAAAGCTTTCAGCTTGGAGGTGTGAAGTGAAACTTACACGGGCGGTCAAGATTGAATGAGGGAATTTTGGAATTTCATTTACAACGGCCACCCGCACGGACACCTGATTTCAGCATCTTTGTGTTACCAGTTTGACGACCACTGAGGGAATTTGCCTGAACCCTCAGTAGGACCAGCTCAGGATCTCGTGACGGGCCGCCTCGGTCGGAAAGCGCTCGCAATCCATGGGGTCCAATGAATCCAACTTTTCACTAGCGCTCACTTCGCATTCCTGAATTTTCACACACTTTCTGTCCTAGTTCTGGAGCTCTTCGAGCTTCACACAATTTCACCCAGATCCTTCTTCTAAGAATCTTCAAGTCCCCAAGTATGTTTTTGAAAGGCATCCGCTTTTGAGGGATCCGATCTTCACAGGGCCACCGGGCCCGGACCTTGGCTGAGGGATCCACTTGAGCGGAGTCAGCGCCTTGGCGGAGGCGCTGCACGAAGGCGCCCAGCTCACCAAGCTGCTGCTGTCGAAGAACCGCAGCTCGGAGCGGCGACGATCTCGGTGGACGAAGATTCGTTGGGTTGTGTCGGTTTCAGGGGAGACCCAGTGGCACTCTAGTGAGGCCCCAGGATGACGGGGAGCTGGCGGGGAGAGAGTGGGATGACCTCTGAAAGCGTGGCTTTAGTCCTCATTGCACTAGCTGCGTTCATTTTGGATGTGAAGAACCAGCTGCGACCAGCTGTCGGTCGGTGTGAACTTCGTGAGGTCACAAGTCCTCTTTTGGGAGAAGAACCCTGGTGCCGAGGATTTCCAATCGGAGTATGATCAGTGTCGCTTCTGAGGCCTGGGAGAAGGAGAAGTCCAAGTCTTGGTCGGGGCACTTGGGAGAAGCCAGTTGACCTGGCTGGGTCTCTCTGAAAATGGCTCCTCAGATGAAAGTGGCGGTAGAAGAAGGGTGTGAATAGTTCTGCGAAACGTTTCCTGAAGTCTTTCAATCCCCTCCAATCCTCATTATGTTCGGATAGCTTTAGATTGCAGTGCCTTGGTGGCCGGGTAGAGCTACGGTCTGATCTTGTCTAAATAGGGGATATGTTCAGGATGGGTTGGTCAAACCCAAACAGTGTTCAACAATAGCCCTTCAGATTGCAGATACAACTAGCACGCCTCTGCGGTTGGACATATCTCAAGTCATAGCTGACTAGGCAGTAGACTGATATTATCTCAAGTCCTCATGATTCACCCTTTTGACGGGCACATGCGAGCCTCGAACTTAGATGTGACGCACGTCGGGGCGATTGTCCTTGGTGCAGCACTGCCCGAAACCAAGCTGACCGTGCTTGATCTCACTGGGAATAGCTCCTTGGCAGCCCATCGCACCCCCGTCCGGTTGCCCGTGAGGCCGAACTTTTAGGTTCGTTCGAGGACAGCCAATGTGTTTTGGTGAGGTGTGGTGGTACACTTCGCGATTCTGTTCGCCACTGGAGGGGATGACGGGTATCTCTACCAAGTGAGGGCAACGGGTAGGGAACCTGTAGGGTGACAAGCATTCTCTTCATTTTGTTGGGCTGCAATGCTAGGGTTGATCCGTGGTTTTGCTGATCCACAGCCATGTACCGTTTTATTCACATGGACTCTGGACCATTTATGAGTTCAGTCTCAGGGTCCACGACCATCACGCTTGATGGGAAGGAGTTGGATGCGATGGTGGTCAGTGGGAAACGCGTGAGAGAATTGAAAACACTCCTGGCAACTCGAGTTGGATACTCGAGGTTTCGACTTCGACTTCTTGTGGACAATATCAGTGAGTTGCGGGATGAGATACTTGTAAGTCGACTGCCAAGCATTCAGTTGATCATTCTGGGCCTTTATGATGCTGGTGGGCTGGAGCAACTGTTTTGTGCACACAGGCAGCGCAGTTTGGGCGAAGTTGAGCAGTTCCTCCAAAGGCCATTCACCCAAATGTGAGATTAACGAGAGGAAACCATTTCATTGCTCCCATAGATATTGCAGCAGATAAAGGGCACTTAGAGGTGGTGCGGTTGTTGCTCAAGGCTGGAGTTGACAAGGATGCTGCAAAGATAGATGGGGTACCAGCTCTGATGGCTGCAGCTTGGAATGGCCGGGTGGATGTGGTCCGAATGTTGCTCGTTGCTTGGGCTGACAAGACAGCTCTAGAGGCTGCAGCTTGGAATGCCCATGTGAATGTGGTCTGTATGTTGCTCGAGGCTGGAGCCGGCAGGAATGCAGATGGGGCCTTAGTGTCTGCAGTTTGGAAAGGCCACCTGGAAGTGGTGCTACTGTTGTTCGAGGCTGGAGCTGACAGCAGAATGGCCACTTGGAAGTGGTGAGGTTGTTGCTCAGTCTTTGACAACAGATTGCAGGTCGCCGTGAGAGGGAGGGAGTGGAACTTGGCTGTGACCGGATTTTCTTTGAGGTTCTTCAACTATTAGAATACCATGTCTGTATATTAGTAGATCCAATCATATTGTATCCATACCATACAGATGATTCATGATCACATGCAATATGGATCCTCGGTCAACTTAAAAACAATGCTTCTGGTGTTATACCCTCCAACCCTTGGATGCTGATGCGCGAACCCTGCGAAACTGAACCCGCCGCTCAACACCCGGAGATCTCAGGGATTTGCTCAGAGACATCGGGCGTGCATGCTTTGGCGGCTGCATTGACCAAGAGCCAGCTGAAGCAGTTGAACTTGGGCAGCAACAGCTTCTTGGCACCCTCTTTTGGGACAGTGAGGCCGCGACTGCTGAAGGGGTGGGTTGAAAATGAGAAATGAGAATCCCACATCATCCACCCAAAACGGCCATCAAAGAGTTTTAATGCAACAGTATTTGTGTGGTTTTGGCCCTTAGCAAAACCTCAAGAGCTATTTTGGGTCTGTCTCCCATTGATCACACAGTGATGCTTGTGGGATGATCGTGCGAGACACACCAATCTTTCATTCTCCCCCCAAACCACTACGTACCTGGAATTTGCAGGTATGTATGCTTAGGAGGTATATATGTTTCCGATAGGAACATACATACCTCCGAAAACCAAGTATGTATGTTACCCCCCTGGGGTTCTTACTCCCCCAAACACAATCCGCATACACGCGGCAGGTTGGGAACATCAACATGCACAAATCTTCTTTAGGTTATATATGTACATTCCAAACTTTTCATCACAAAACCAACCCTAGTGTGGAAGACTCTTTTCCTCTATGAATCCACAAGTGATGCCACTTTACGATTTGCAGTGCTTCTTCCCGCAGATGGCCCAGGAGGTTGCTGTTTGGTACTCCTCTGTGGTGGATTTGGTGGCATCCCTGAAGGACTCACCACAAATTTTGCCAACCTGCGGGTTGCACCAGGACCAGACAGGACCAGACCATCTCAACCATTTGCGTGGAGGGGATGTCTCAACCATCGACACGGGCGTTGCTCTGTGGACTCGATCGAGCGAGCCACGGCGAGGGCGGGCTCGATGACCCACCCGTGGTGTCATGCTGCCTTCCAACAAAGCTGTCTGGGAACGTACGGTTGTTTCAGGTGCGGAGAAGACAGAGACCAAAGATTGCATTATCTCCCATAGATCACTGTGATGCCTGCCATACCATTCCCATAGAGTCCTGTTACAGTACTGTGTATACCTGGTATTTACAAGGTATGGAAAGCCCCCTAGTAGTATTGCTGGAGGGGATACCCAAAACTTGATGGCACCCAGGTATCGGTGAGGCTGCTGAATTTTTGACGTCAAGCTTGTCGGAGAGTCAGCTGACTGAACTGGATCTCTCCGACAACGGCTGCTTGGCAAGAGCCTGGAAGGGAGCTTGGAGGCGTTTCGGTGTTGGGGTTGTCTACAGTGACTCGATGCGCAGTACCTGCAATGTCTACTGAGTCTACTGGCGCCCTTGTAGTCGTGTTGAACTGAAGCCCTCATTCACGAAGTACCTGCCCTATTCACCAAAGACACCGGACTGCTTCCTTTACGTGCCGTCAGACGACCCCAGGGCAGCATCGTCTGCTAAGGTTTAGGGGAAGCTGAAGTGCAAGATTTGGCTCACGTGCTGCCGAATTGCCAACTGACTAGCTTGAATCTTCAGTGGAACAGCTCCTTAGATCAAGTGGCACAACTTTTGGACAGTTCCAACAGAGTGAGCTTCAAAAGACTGGAGACCAGGGTCAAAAAGTATGACATACGCAAGTAAGTATGCGTCATTTCTTAGTCCAGGCATGTTCCACACTAACAAACCTGCACTATCACATGGTGCTCACGATGCCTACATACTACCGATCCTCAATGCTACACACACTCCACACAAATGTCACATTCCTCACCTCCAATTTCTCTTTAGTTCCCGCGTGCCACCGGGTTATGGTAATAAAACTCCTGATATTGCAAGATCATGGAGTGCCAATCCAAAGGGAATTCCAGTGTATAAACTGCATAAACGTTTTGGACTCCGGCAATCCCTCTAACCGCTATAGCCAAACAGACCTTCCCTGGCGCCGCCTCCCTGCAGACGTGGGGGATGCTGGAGCCATCGCTTTGGCGCCCAAACTTGGGAAGAGCCAACTGAGAGAGTTGAATCTCGAAAGAACCCGCACCTTGGGCAGCAGAGTTTTGGACGACCTGGGTGGCTGAAGGTGGGGGATCTCACTTGGGTGGCTGAAAGGTAGAAAGGTACTTGAAACTCCAGCACAAGGAGGAGGTCATTTTTCTTCTGGTGCGATCAAAAACGTGTGGCTGGAAGCTCTTTGTTGTGAAAAACACCTGAACCATTTCTACACATGGTTGGGATTGCCCCCTGATTGTATTGGTCGGATCAGCCCATATCTTTGTTTATTTCTTTCAGCCGAAGACCACTGCGGAGAACCTCCAGACCACTCGATTGGACCCCCCACTAAGCCAGGTACAGACTCATGCCCCAGTTGACCAAGGCTATAAAAGCTTCTTTGCAAACAGTCTCTGTTTGATTGAACATTCCTTTGGTCTGGAGTGTGGAAATTGGTGAGCGCTTTTACAGTCGACTTTCCACAGTCCAATGAATTCATTTATATGAGAAGCCCACCTTCCCAAAGAACTTGTGTGAACCAGGGTTGTCTTTCAATAGCAGTTGTTGAAAAGAAGCTGTATCTTGAAACAATCCACTAAACAGCCTCTTTTTGGCGTATCCTCTTCAGGTAGGCGAGACACTTGAGGTATATGGCGCTCGGGAGCTATCGCCTTGGCTGCTGGCTTGTCAGGCAGCGTGTTGACCAGCTTGTGGTTGTCCTTCAACAGCTCCTCGTCTGGGTGTTTTGGTGCCATTGACCACTCAGCTTAGAGGCGTTGGGTGTGCAGCGGATATGGCATCAGAAGACAAGGACCTCCTCTTTTTGGCTATTGCCTTTGAATAACCAATGTCTGGTCAACCTGTGAGTCTCCCGTGGTAAAAAACCGAATGATCACAGTTGCCAATTCAGACGTTTCACTCTGTCTCTTTAAGAAAACGGACGCTCCCAATTTTGGGTCCTGTGAGCGTTTCGATCCTCTGCCGATCGGAACACCCTGACAACGTTCGTCCACCATCGGCCGGTTCTTTTTTCACGCGCCCGAGCGAGCGTTCCGTTGCCCGGGGCGCTTAAAGCAGGTATCACGTGTGAACAGACCTTTTCCGGGCAGTCATTATCTATAGGGCAGGTAAATGTACTGTAATAGTGCTTGCACACATTTCATTCCAAAAAGAGGGCCTGGAGGTCCCTTTTATATTGTATATAACATATAGTATAGTATAATATAATATAGTATAATATGATATAGTATAATATATTATATATATATATACCTATACACGAAATGACTGCCCCAAGCGCGGGCTGCGGGCGGATTGGTTTTGGTGCACAGAAATACTGTAGGTTGCAACTCTCCGATCCAGAGGACTTGACTGCGTGGGTCAAAACACCTTTGGGCAGACATGAGGAGTTACTACAGCTCTTTCGATTTTTTCTTGCTGACTCCAACTCATTTGATTTTTGTTCAATTGGATAACAGTATAAGAAGACAAATACAGTACCTATAGCTATCTATAGCTTGAATTCACTTCAACTGTCTGGCTTCCCATTCCTGGCCCCAGATCTGGGCGATGGCATCCACTCTCTGGCCAGAGCACTGCCTGGAAGTCAGCTGATGGTCTTGTCTCTCGCGCACAGCGGCCCTTTGGCCTCGGCACTGGTAGAGGCATTGGTCGGTGTGAGTTGGGGTGTCAAACAAATCACCACTGGACAAGGCGTTTTTGCGGCGATTGGTTTGAGATCCAAGCTGTTCTGGTGTTGGCTCTGAGAGACAGTTTTACAATACCCCATCCGAGTGGTAGAGGGTCCGACAATTTTTGAATTTACTGGTACGTGAAAGGAAAGCGGGCCTCCATTGAATGAGTTTACATGAGAAATGTAAATGGCTTAGACGGCCAGGGAGTTTACCAGGACAGTCATGGTGGATCAACTCAACTGTGAAGGAAGCAAGACACATACGGACATCCGAGAACAATCCGACGCACCACGGACGCATCACGCGCCCAGGAGAGACTCACCAGAAGTCGTTTTTGATGACACACTGTGATGCCGTGGGTCAAAACCAGGATATAGCTTGGTTAACCTACTTACCCCGAGGGTCATTCGCTACATGGTGGGCTGATTCGGACCTCCAGGTGGGCTACTCATCCACATGTTCCTCAACGACCCCATACGTTCACCATATCTTTTCCCGAGGAATGGAGGTGGCTGGTGCCCAAGCGATCGCGAAAGCACTGCCTTCGAGCAGATTGACGGAGCTCCATCTTTCATCGAACGGTGTCTGTGGCAGCAGTTCAAGGGATTCTGCAACTGATCTCGCTCTGCAGGGCTGGTTTCTGCACTTTCACAGAAGTTTGCTGATTGGTTCACCTGACACATCAAATGATTCTGGAAAAGTTGCAGTACCATTTTGTTTTTTTGGTTTCTCCAGGAAGAAGCATACAAAAACTGAAAGATCTGGTGGAATCTGCACTCAGTTCGTCGCACGGGATCATCACAAGGAACACGCTCGTTCCGTTCGATCAGCCCGTTCGATCAGGGTGGGCGTCGGGAGTTTTCATCGCTAGTTGGTTTGTGGATTTGTGGACTGTTGATCTGTCAGCTTAAATGAGTGAGCAATGAGGTTCTCAGAGTAGACCTGGTACAATCACCAAGCGGGATACCATCCACAGCCTCCACAGCTGGCTCGAAGACCGAACACACCTGCAGGGCTTGGGATACAGAAAACGCCCCGTGAAAGACCTTTTCAGGTGGTTTGATCCTGTAGGAATCAGGAAGGGCATGGAAAGGTAGTAAACTAGTTTACAAGAGTACAGGAAGAGACACAGCCAAAAGCATGTTAAGGACCGTGCCAATGATGGAGCAGGCATAAAAATAATTAGCGCCAAGCCTCTTACACATCAGGACTCCTTGACAACTGTACGATCCGAAGCCAAGATAGAAACTGACTCCTGCGCAAATACATTGGTGATCTTTGATGTGTTGGATGACCAAACCTGTCACAAGATACTACAAGCCAAAGGGTTCAAGAACCAACGCAGGTCCAAGAAGAGACTTTGGGACACCCCCCCTCGCAGCGAGGTCAAACCCTACAGCTTGAAGCTTTCAAAGAGATCTCTTCAGGAGGTTTTGCTTAGCCTAAAGCATCTGAAAGCGCATGTGTCTGAACATTTGTTCTTGCATTGTTACAGATTGTTCCTGTTCTTACTCGAGAATTTACCGGAGTCACTGGCCAGTCTTGGCCATTAGTCTTCAGCGTTTCCGTTTTCCATTGTACCTCGCTTGTAGTCGACAGGGCACTTCATGACTTGGTTTGCAGTTCGAACCTTGTGTCATCTCCAACGTCACCGCAGCCATTGTGGCTTGCAGAAGAGTTTGATTTTGCGGGAGCTATGAGGAGAGCCAGCGGGGATGGGGGACTGGAGCTGCACTGATGTGCTGTGTCTCGGTACTCCGTGTCATGCTCCTGTGGCTTGGTAAGTCTTGAACCCTTGTTATAGGGCCATCCTGTTTAATGTCTGGTGACCCGAAAGCGGGCTTCAGAGGATCTCTAAATTTGCGACTCATTACTTTTGATTGTGGCACAATCTTGGAGAAGATTTCGATGTTTGGATACATGCTCGATCTCAAAAACCAAAGGATGCAAATATAATTTTGGAACAGCCAGATCACAAGGTCCAGAGTTTAGAGATTGTGGTTGCTGCCTTCTCCTCAAAAATACATGTGGAAGGGATTTACACAGGGTGGAGGGAGTGCAGTATAGTTTGCAAGCCACCACGACTTGATAAACTCTGATGTGCCCACTGACGTGGGGACACTTAGTGCGCCGATGGAACACCAAGCGGAACGGAAGCAAAGTCCAAACGGTAAAACTCTGAGAATGCCTAATGTTTGAGACATCCCCCATGGCCCCATGATATTCGGACTAGAAAATGGGAGGGGTTGACGTTTGTAGAAAGCGGCATGTATTGGGCCACAAGGAGGTAAGCTCACCGGCAAGGGGTCAGGTATTGCATTTTCTAGACAGAATGTAATTCACTAGAAAATGAGACACACAGGTCACATAGGCATGCTTCCAAGGTTATGTTGTAGACATCACCTTGTTCTCTTGATCCCAGCTGTCCCTTCATTTTCTATTGAGGTTCCTCCTCACTTGCTAGCAAGCATGATGATGAATAATGATGAGAAGAGAATTTAAGTAGAACATAGTAAAACATCACGTAGTATCATATACATTTTTAATCCTCAAGATCTAGAAACAGAAAATTCAAGAAAGACATTGAAAAAATCAAGACATACCCCTAATTTTCAGTCCCAATATCATGGGGAAAGAGTGGACGCGAGCGCGCGGAGCGATTTCGGGTATGGCAGGGTCTGAGGATTTGGGTGTGCCAGGTGCTGGTCAAGACACCAACGACGCTAGAAAATGAGGAGTGCAACCAAAAACCCTATAACCATGAGTTTCTGGTGGCTTTGGTCTGGCTGCCCCGTGAGTGCAACTTAAAATCCTATAACCATGATTTTCTGGTGGCGTTCTTCTGGCTGTCCCTTGGGTACCCTACCTTTCCATTTCTGGCCGCCTGAGTTCAAGAAATGGAATGGTAGGGCGCTAGGGATACTCTACCTTTCCAGTTGGACTTGTAGGGTATGGCATGGTCTGATGATTTGGGTGTGCCAGGTGCTGGTCGTAAATTTCACCAACATTGACCCACACATGGAGTTGCTTTTGGTTCTTCCCACACAGGAGGGCCCTCTCTTCTTCTACATGGGGTTTGTTGAAAGCATAAAACCTGTAAGTTTCTTCATGGAGATAGGAGTCTCCTTGAATGAAACAGGGGGACACATGAGGATTCCTTGCATCCAATGACTGAAAGTCGGTAAAAGTTCACGATTCAAGTATTGCTAAGGTTCATTCCTGGGAACAGCTTCCCAAGTTCTTCTAACCTCATTTAAGGCTTTCGTTTGGAGAAGGGCAGGAAGTGGAAGAATACTGGATACTTCTTTCTGCGTTCTAGTTCTGGTGACCAATACAGCATGGTAGTGCTCTGCTTCGGGTCAGATGAACGACACTGAGGATGAGGCAGGCTGCTAAACTGCACTTCCCCAGTATACGGCATAGTCAGGTGACTCTAGCATCTCAACTTTAATCTATTCTTGTTGTGCATGAGAATCATTGTACTTGCTCGATTTTGAGGGGACGGAGTATACCAACCTGAAATGTTAGAAGAAGGCTCCATAATATGGCCACTGTCATCATTAGTTTTTCGATCTGCTTGATTTAATTAACACCATCGTTGGATCAGATGATTTTCTACACACGCACGGGAGGTGTTCCAGGGTTCCGTCATAGAGTTGTTCTACCGGACAACGTATAACTAAAGTGGATTCTCCTTATTCTCCTTACCCAAACAAAGGTTTTCCATGGTTTTCCCACTTGGAATGATTTTCCTTCCTATTGCGTCAGATCTCTCCGATAGCTGCGCAACTCTCGAAAGCTTCGCGGCGCTCCTCCAGGACTTCACAGACGTTCTTCTTGAATCCTGTCCACAAAAGGCTCTTGAGTATTACCAGCTCGGGGCCCCACTGCCGCTTGCTCGACGGCAACGTGACAAGCCTATGGGCCTATTTTTCAAGTGTGCTTGGAAGCCTAGCGCCTAGGGTTATCCTATATGTCATATAAGTCACTTGCAGATGAGGTAGGAAGGAGACTCTTTGGCATGTGTGGTCCATAAGAACAGTATGATCAAGCCCGACTGTTTGTGCGAAGACTCTTTGCCACAATGCATTCCATACTTTCCAATGGGGGCAGCACGCCCAACTCCCGATTTTGCGGAGAACAGAACAATTCATTTGGAGCGTCCCTCCCACGATCAAGTGCAGTCGATGTATTCGCCGTGCGACCCGTGACAAGTCCAACGGCCTCTCCTCGAAATTAAGGTCGCAGGGCTGGTCAGAGGTGTCCAGATTCATTGTTCTGTACGGGCGTCTTGGCAAATGATCCGAAGGACAAGGGACTTTTGGTTCTCTCTTGAGGTCAAAGAAGACAATGGACATTTGAAGGACTTTAGAATCCATGCAGCGGTCATTTTCCACTTTCACTTGCCTTTCGCAGCTGCTTTAGTTTGGCAAGAATCCCGGTGGGAGAACGGTGTTGACCAAGTGCCGATATCTGCTGCATGTAGTGCAGGTTGGCAAGAAATCTGTATGAACTAAAACCAGACCCGGTTCATGTATGTCTGACGTCTGAACTAGGCAACAGTTCTCAAACCCCTTGCTGGGCGATTTCGTAAGGGAGCGGCATTTTGTATATTAGGTTTTTCTATAGGTTTCTTATTTTTTTAAAAAATATATGTTTACAGTAGATTTGCTGTCGCTGTTCCTTTTGCCGCTGTTTTCAAACTTTTGTCGTTTTGTTGCTTTTTTGCTTTTGGGAACGTTCATTGTTTCTTTTGGTTTGCGTTTGGTGCTTGCTGGCTTTTGCGGCCTTTGATTTTCTTTTTTGTTGCTGTTGCTTTTGTTGCTTTTCTGCTCTTGTTGCTTCTCTTACTTTGAAAATGGTGTAACTGTTTGTGTGTATATACTTTGGTGTTACATTTGTCGCTCTGTCCTTTTGTCGCTTTTGTTGCTTTTTCTGCACTTGTTGCTGTAGCAGGCAGCGTTGTCAGGATAGTCTGTCCTGCCTTCTTCTAAATCGCCTCTCAGGGTAGGGATCATTCAAATTTAAGGTATTTTTGTCTAGTTGCATTTTGGTGCAGTATCTTTTCTTTTTGGTTCGCTCTGGAGGGGAGGCGCTGCGCTCCCCTCCAGCACCACGAAATCTGCACCATTTCTTCCACTATGCTGCGACTGTCATGAAAACTCATTTTGCTAGAAGTCGACCACGCTGCACTGCACCAGCGACCAAAACGAAATCTACAGTACTTCTTTCATTTGCACTTTGCCTGCTACGACAGCTGTTTCTCTTAAGTGTCAGCCCTGTAGCCGAAATGGTCCTTTTAAAAGGTCAGCCGCCAGCAATTGTGTTTCCTCTTCCTGGACACCCAAACTTTGAGCCCTAAGGATTTAAGAATGACATTCCGAATAAAAACGCCTTTTGTAAGTGGCCAAGTGGCTTTAAAGCACTGCCTTCACTCACCATGCTGCACCTTTGATGACCGGTCCCTCCGCTTGATCCACGCCGCACCACGTTCCGGCCACGCCGCGGCCAAGGATGTTGCAATCCCTCGGCGAGCAGGCCATCAAGGTGCCTCGGCAAAGGTTGAGGACGGCCGGCGGTGGAGGGCCGACTTAGCATGAGGCAGAAAGCCTGAAGTGTGACGAATCTATTTGCAAGCAATGATTGAAAGAAAATCAGGGCAACGAAGCCGCTGCTGCAAACTTGTCTTGATGACAATTGCGCCGTGTCTTTAGACTCACTGACCGTTGGGACTGTTTGCATTGCTTCATTTGCACGTGCTTCTCTCCCAAGGTTGATGGGTACATGGCTGCAGTGGTGGCCGGCAGGGAGCAACAGCTGTTGGATTCGTGATTGATGGCATAAGACATTCACATGGAGAGAGAGCGTGACAGAGCAAGTCCCAGGTCTCCTGCGTTTAGACTTCTTATATACGTGATCCACCCTCTATATACTGTGGCTGTCAGGGATTACAGCGATAGAGCAAGCCAATTCGAACCCAGTTGGTGACAATCCACTATGAGGGGAGATGTTGTTCAGCAGCGATTCAGCGGCGCTAATTACATTTCAGTTTCTGCCACAGCTCTTGAAGCTCCACCTTCTTTCCACCATCCCATGAGAAAACCCTATGAGCCGTGCCTGCCAGACCGCGTCGCACGCTTTGCTAGGCGGGACCTCATGAACGAGGCAGCTTGATGCTCAGGCGTTGGGTCGATGGCCTCGATTTTCGCCGGTCGGGAGCAGGTGCAGAGGCAGGAACGATGTTCGTAGTTTGGGGCGAGCTTTGGGAGCCATGGTTCTTGCGGTCCTTCAAACGTACAATAATCACATGTTCGCATGATCGGAACACTATTGAAAGCAGACATGAACACTACTTTGAATCTTCATTCTCTCTCCAATGTTTCAACGTACAACCTGGTTGTGAATTGTGACGAGGATAGTCGGCTTGTTTGGTGGTTCCTGACCAATGCATTTGATCCGAATCGTCCACTGGTGTGACAGTCGCTTACTGCTTTTCCTTTCTTTTTGTCATCACCATCTGTGTACTTTTCATGTTTCGAGTGGAACTTCTCATGAAAGGTACACTTGTACATCCACCACCTGACGTTCAAGAACCATTATTTCCTTTCTGAAGTTCCGAACATCAGGGAACACCTGACTGCACAGCGCAAATTATGTTGTTTGTTGAATCAGGTTTGGTGGTTATTAGATTTTTTTCTTTCACCAGATCAGTTCTGGACACCTGAGCAGAGATAACTTCAATGAATGACTCGAAATTCCCCACGTGTGTCCACCTGCACTTGCCAGGCCTGACAGTGAGTCTTATGCCTGGGCGAAGTGGGATAATGTGCCTCCTTCACCCAGGACTTTCCTGTCGAATGGTCGTCACCGTGAGCCATGGTGACCCCTAGGTTCATCTTCCACAGAGATCCCCGTTGAAAGGTCTTTTCTAGAAGGGTGGGCCTTGAGGCTATTTTGTAGCGACCATTCTGTAGTAAAAGGCAGGTGGAAAATGGCTGAAGGTTCTGAATTTCGGTGGGTTCAAGTTGTAGAGTATCTCTTGGGACACAAAATCTCAGGCAGAGAGGATAAGATTTGGGCCAACTTATTCTTGAGAAATGCTGTTTTTGGGCTGCGGCCGAGTCCCGATCTTGAATCCAATGGGGCCGCCTGCTCCAAACAGATTTTGATCGGTCCACTGACTTTTATAGCCATCCTGGATGCGGAGTCTACCTCATCAGGCCATGGTGGCTCATCTCATGCAGATTTACATCTTTCGGGTTTTCTTCCACCAACAATGCGAGAAAACCTGCCAGGCGGTTCACGATGGCGCAGCCAAGATCTATGATATTACTATATTATGTGTGTACAACTACTGTTGATGGAAGACATTCTGCACCACCTGTGGTTTCCAAACCGCCGTCATCATTTAAGTCAGGTTGAAGAAGCCCCTTCGGTTTTAGTTTTTCCCAGATACCTCCGAATGTAGATTGCCCGGGGCTGGGCAGCCCAGCAGCCCGCAAGAAGCCTTTGTAGGATTTCAACAGCACATGGAGATTTACGGTTCACTTGAATTCACCAATGCACTCCTTGCCCCATTTCTGGGCGTTAGAAGAGCGATCCCTTTCCTTCGTAATGCCACGTTTGCCAGGAGTTCTGGCAATGGTGAGGCCCGCATTCACGCGATTCCTAGAACCCGGCAACTGCAGCAGCAGAGCGTTGGCAGGGGCGAAAAGAGTCGAAAATTCACTTGACGTCACATCGAAAGACACACGTCTGGATCCCTGCGGTCCTTTGGAGCCGGAGAACTGGTCACTTCGGTTCTCACCTACTAGCGTCCTTGTTACTACTAGTAAGGCACTTGTTACTAGTAGCGATGCACGTCCGAGTTCTTAAGATCTAATTACTAATTTAACGTAATTTAATTCTAATTACTTCTAGTTCTTGTTTCTAATAGCTTCTTGTTACTAGTAGTAAGGCACTTGTTACTAGAAGCGATGCACTTGTTACTAGTAGCTTCTTGTTCTCACCTGAAACACATCGGTTCTCTTCCGAGCGGTGAAGACCCGCCACACCGAGAACTGGGCGATGCCGGGGCGGAAGCTGTCGGGCTGACCTTGCCCCAGAGCCAACTCCTTCACCTGGACCTGGCAGATAACGGCGTCTTGGAGCGGGACGAGCCTTCAGAGTTGTAGAGATGTTTAGAGTTTTTCCAACGGTCGTCAGTTACGGTATGTGATGGTCTTGAGTGTTGCAGGTCACCCCCCACACTGGAGACTGTGGAAATGAACGTCCCCTCGGACCGTGTTTGGGAGGTCTTCAAACCCAATCAGAAGTGTATCAATTCGATTGACCCAAACTCAACGGAGGAAGCCCGTTGGAAGAGCAGGGGAGAAGCTTCCGCCAACATAGCAAAGCTCCTAGTAGAAGACCCCAGTGACCACTCTGGAACTAGTGAAGGAGCTCCGCCATCTCCTACATCTCTCAACCCTCTCATCCCGAAGGGATTGAGCTTGTGGTTCCTGACAGACTCCTCTTCCTACTGAATTTCTACACAGTCCGTCCCACAAATGGCTGAGATGCCCTTTCTCTTGGTACCCAATAACTTGATTGGAAGGACTGCGGACCTCCGGACACCGGCATGCTGCCAAAGACCTCTCGACGACGGAGGTCTCAGTCATGTTGGAGCACATGCTATTGCGCTCGCACTGCCTAAGAGCCAACTGACACACCTGGAATTGTCGAGCAATGGTGCCTGGGCCCTGCACGAAGCGAAGACCGCCCTGCTGGTTGCTGTGAAACAACACCGCAAAATCTTGCGGCCTATGCCAAATGTTCGTCCTGCACGGATAGATTTTAGGAGGGTAAGACAGGTTGCGCAGGAGCAGAAGAGGTTGGCGGAGAAGATTCGTTGGGATTGGTCGACCCTGTGGGCTTTCTCAAGCAACTCAGGAGAGCATTGCAGGCTTCAAACTTTTCTACCACGCTGGGTTGAAAAAACTTCCCTCTTGCATAAGTGGAGACATCCATTTTGACCTTTTGTGTTGCTTTTGGACGTCCCACATGGAGTTGAGAGCTGGAGAATTGGAAATCCTCAATCTTAAGGTTTCCCCTGCTCTGACGCTGGGTGAACTGACGCCGTTCCGTCGGAGTGTTTCGCGTGCAAGACCCGAGCGCGACGAGGCATTGGAGACGCGGGTCTCCGAGCGCTGGCGGATGTTCTGGTGCAGAGCCAACTGAAAGAGCTCGACGTGTCTCAGAACAGATGCTGAGCTTTGCGCAAGAACCTGCAGGGTGTCAGGTGTTGAAAGGACCGGTTGATTTGTGGCTCTTGTATGAGGTTATTGCCTGAAAATGGGAGGCCCCAAACGAGAGGTTTGGTTGTCTGGAGGTCCCCATTTTGTACTCCACATCTGAGTTAGGCTATTTTCGGGAAGACTTGGAGAACCTGCAGGGTTTGACTCAATTTCCCCTGTACTAGTTGGGCTTTGTGGGGATATGGACTTTTGAGCCATGCCCAAAGGGATCATTCATTCTCAGAGAAAAATGGACACGGATGAACGGGGGTGAGATGTGCAGGCTGGTTCAAAAAGTATTTTGGATCTGAAGATGGGGTGCTGCCTTGAATTTAGGCAACATGTTCACCTTGACATTCACCGTGGCTTGAGAGCATGGAGACTCGCAGTTCTTGGAGGCTCTTCAATGCTCAGGAGGGCTCCAACCTGCATGTAGAAGGCCAATGACAAGTGGATCATGAGCCACAGTCAAAGCCATGTGAGACGACGAACCCGTTCTAGTTCAGGTGCCAATGAAGAAATCCTGTGAGAATGGCAGACTAGTTGGCAGACTTTCACAGGGATATCCGTTCATGAACTACAGACATTTGGGTGCTCCTTTCCACCGAGCAAGGGCAGATCGGACGTGGCCAGTTTGAAAGAGGGTCATCACAGTGGATGAATGTCTTCCTCTTAGAACTGGACAAGGTAGGGACTGTTTGTTGGTGCAGTGGGTATCTTTCCGAGGCCGTTCACCAGTATGATTGACTCCAATAATCACTCATCTACCATAGGAAACTTCCAGTTGAAGGATGTTGAAGGTGCTTGCCTCACCAATCCAGACTCTCCTGGCCCAGGCTTTGGCGAGGACGCGAAAGGGGAGCTGCTGAAAGCATGTGGCACTGCCCATGTGAAGTGCACCGCCCACTGAGTGGCCTGCTGAAGTTCGAAAAACTGTGACAGGGAGAAGGGCTGGTGACAGCCCTGCTGGCTTGGCGAAACACATCCCAAGTGTTGGCTCAAATCCAGTGGTTCATCAAAAAAAGGGTCTGTTGGATTTGCCAAAAGTTTGAGCCGAGTATGAATTTGTAACCATGACTGGCTTTGTCGCTCCTCAAGCTTCAAGGTAGGGAATGCCTTGGGGAGCTGCTGTCGCTGAGGGCATCTCCTTGCTTTCCGTCTTTTCCACCTCCCTTTCTTGTCCTGCCCATTGCCACCCCTCCTCTATCCTTCCTTGGCTGTCAGGCATCACTATTGGACTTCTTCTAGGGGTTGGACTTGGATTTTGGCTCTCGTGGCATTTCTTTGCCCTCCTTCCGGCTAGGACCTCTCCTGTCTCCGGCGGAGGCAGACTTCGAGGTTGAGGCCCTGAGACAGGAGATCGTTGACTTGACCGACGCCATACGAGATCTTTCATTGGCGATCCGGCTGGTGAGGTTGCCGAGGGGGTTGGTGGGCAGAGCACTGCGTTGAGCAGTTCAGACCCCTCTCGTTGTGAGTTGGTGGAGGACGGAGCAGCGATTCCGGGGGCCCCCAAGGGCTTTTTGGTTCGTGAAGTGCAGTTTGGTTTCGAAGAGGGACCACCTCCTACACCGAGTTTCTGCATTGAAGCGGCCAAGCGCCATCTTACCTCATCCAGGTTCTCAGCAGAGGACAGGGCTCGATCGGCGTTTTCTGCAGGGCATTGGGCAAGAGCTTTTTAGGAAAGCCGGGCACCATACAGGAGCACCTATAGATCTTCTTTGCCTGCCACTCACTGGATTCTCAGGAAAGGCAGTGGATTTGATCTGATTCGAGTATCCTCCCAGAAAGAGTGCCGTTGCAGAAGGACTACTCCGACATCATCTATTTGGAGAAAGTCCCATCCCTCACTGAGCTGCACATCTTCTGTGCAGGTGCGAAGACGCCTGTGCCTCCGCTATGGCGCTCGAGCGCCAGCAAATAGCTTTTGCCTCGCAGCATGCAGATCCCTCTTTGTTGGTCATGACAGTTCCCAGTGAGATGACAGCTGGAGGGATATCAATTCAAGCTTTTGCAGTTCCTTTAGATGCACGTCGAGGAGGTGTTCTTTTGGCGCTTCCTACAGGCTTGTTCCCGTTGAGCCTGACCTCGCCCACTGCTGGTTTTGAGGATGAAGACATGATTGGCCCTTCAACGATCATCGACGTTGACATGGTCGATGAGGATGACTTGGGCAATGTCTATGCCCCGGGATTTCAGAGCAGTATATATGTGGGTGACTTTGCGAACTCAGTCCTTGCCATGCTGAGAGAGTATGACCTGGTCACCGACTCTCTGAGTGACATCATCCCTTTTTCAGAAGGGTATCCTACAGCTCTTCCGTCGGCCCCTGAGCTCTTGTCCGCAGCTTTGTCTTGGGCATCCTCTGAGGCAGGACGGGTCCATTTTTACAGTGCTCGAGAAGAGCCGGATCCTTCTTCCAAAAGTACGCCTCCAAAGAAGGCAGCAGCGAAGAGAGTCACTACGGCAGTCCTTGCGGAACAAGTGGCTTCCCTTTCCGCTCAGGTGGCCTTGCTGACCGCCAGCCGACCCGCCGAGCCCCCGCCACAGACCGGAGGCACCATTCCGGGACTGCCCCAGCGCAGCTCCGCCATTCATGTGCCCGGGCCATCCGGTTTGGCAGGCACGAATCCACCAAAGGTGCCTCCGGTGTCCCATGGGCTTTCCACCCCAGCAAGGACATCCCCTGCCAAGGCCTTACAGCTGATAGGCCCTCCACCCAGGACCAGGATGTCCCCCATCCTGGCTCTTCAGGACGAGCACCAAGAGCCATTGAAAGCTCCTCCAGAGACCATAGAGAACTCCTTGTCCCAACAGTCAGCTGCCCTGACCGCGCTGGTGTCGCATATCATCCAAGGCGGAGAAGGTCTTGGACTAGAGGCCCAGGGATCGACTGGGGTCGCATCAAGTTCCACGAGAGGCACCATAAAAAGAGATCAGCTGCAACATTCCCTGGCCAAGGGCCAGTCCAGCTTCTTCCTGATGCTTCAACAACAGATTTGTCGGCGACTCCACCCTTCTCAGACGATCCCAAAGACAGAGGACGAGGCTTGATCATGTGGATTGCAGCCCACGCTGTCGACGCAGCAGCCCGAGGAGACTTCCACTCCACCAGAGAGTTTCTCGCCTTGCTCACTATGGGGTTGGAGCAAAGTGCCTTCGATGCTGGAAGCTGGGACTTAGCCTACATTCTCACCATGGTCGAGGATCCTCCAGCCAATCTCTATCAGGAGAAGGTGAATTCCATCACAGCTTCAGCTCGTCCCTTCTCGCCTCTGATTCCAGCTCCTCTGGCTACGATCTCTCTGGCCTATTTGAAGGAGATCGATTTGTTGCAGACTCGAAGGAGCGAGATGAAGAGCAAGAAAGGGCAGACAGCAAAACATGACGAGGGAGATTCAACGCCCAGCCCAAAGAGGAGGCCAAAGTTTCCCAAGAAGCCCAAGGCCATAGCCGACGGCTCGGCCTAAGTCCCTACAAGAAGCCCGAATTCAGATCACGCCTCGAAAGGAGGGACCAGCCTGGCGCCCCAGTCAGTGCCTTTTTCCGGAAATGGCCCGGCGCCGACATGGCCTCCTAGCTCCCCATTGCCTGTGGGTGATCATTCCGGACATTTGTCCAGGGTGATCACCCCGAGGGTCGAGCATCCGACTTCTTTTCAGATCCGGCAAGCGAGCTACCCTCTGTGGATGTCGAAGCTTACTACGCTGGTGTTGAGGTCGAGATGTTCCTTTTCAGCATTTTTGCATGTTTCCATCCGTGCTTCACTTAGCCCTGAGCCCAGAGCTAGAAGAACACCGTCCTTGTTCCCTGTGCCGGTGCCTCTCGATGGCGCCTTTCGCAGGATGCCCGCAGGCCTATCCAGTGCCAAGCGGAGGACCCTTCATCTTGGTCGAGCTCTTCACATTTGTTGTATGGCCTTGAATTTTTGGTATTATGGTGGGGAGTTTGTTGATGAGGGCCTCTTGCGGAGGGAACCGAATCCATCGCACGCTTTACTCTCGGATTCGATCCTATGTGAGGGCGGACGGCCTCTTGGAGTGTTTTGACATGCTTCATGTGGGTCGGAAGAACCCGAATTTGATTGCAAGGTTATCCGAGCTGACCGCCCTTCTTGTCAAGCTCGGGTGTTCTATGTCTCCGTATGAGAAAGCCTATGTTGGATACAGTGTCGCCGAGGACAACACCATCCTGCCTGAACTACAGCCATATAGAGAGCTAGATCCTTCTCGTCTGAAGTTGCATGGGACAGGTCATTGGGATGCTACACCTTTTCTCCCAGACAACCTGGTGATGGCCTACCGCGAGCCTTGCACCATTGGTCTTGACAGAGTGCCTGAGGTTTGGGAGTATCCTGCTCTCCGAGATCCTCCAGCTACCATTGCCGACTTGGCAAGAGTTTGGGATGCAAATGGTCTTCTCTTTCTTCATTCAGCTGAAGCCCGTGTCAAACCAGCGCATGAGCTTGTCCGGATCTTCAACTGTTACAAGTCGGCTGACAGAGACACACAGATTGGGGACAGACGAGGACGAAACGCAGTTGAATGCAAAGTGTTTGGTCCGTCTGCTGATCTGCCCTCAGGCCCCGATCTCTGTGAGTTAGCAATCGATTTGAAGACCCAGAGGATCGCCTTGTCCATCTCAGACCGACGTGACTTCTACCATCAATTTTGGGTCACCAGAAGGAAAGCAGTTCACAACACTCTTGGACCTGGTACCGTCCTCCTGAATTGAGAAGACAGAGGCTTACAGTCTTTTTATCCTTAAGGAGGCCAAGCAGAAATACGAGAGGAGAAGGCATGGAGACCAGCTGGGAAAAGAGAAGGCTGTTTTTAGCACCCATGCCCCGAGCATTCTCCAAGGTGACCATGCCGGAGTCGAGATCGCAACAGCGTCCCGCTCGCAGTTGCTGAAAGACTATGGCTTGCTCACAGAGGACACTCAACTCAAGGCTTCTCGCCCGTGTTTTTCCAGGTATATGATGGAGGGACTGGTCATTGATGACTACTTCGCTGTCTCCATTGACGACAAAAGTTGTCCCGACACTTCTACCCAGTCCTATGGAGCTTATGCCACAGCACAGAAGGCCTATGAGGACAAGCGGCTCTTGGGATCTTCCGAGAAAGACCTACAAGCTGCCAGAGAAGGTAAGGCAATTGGAGCCTACATCAATGGGAGCTGCCGTGCAACAGACAGAGGAGTTTGCCCTGTTTCAGCTCCTCCTGATAAGAAGTTGGCTCTTGCTATGTTGACCCTGAACCTTTGCGCCCTACCCTACACTACGGTTTCTTTGCACCGTTGCATTGTTGGCGCTTGGGTTTCAGTGCTGCTTTTCAGGAGGCCCATGATGAGCTTGCTGAATGAGGCTTTTCAATTGGCATCAACATATGAGGACTTCGAGGATTCTTGCATTATCCCTCTTCCACGCAAAGTAGCTGAGGAGTTGGTGCTGGTTTCAGTGTTGGTCCCACTGATCCTTTCAGACATTGCGGTGCCTTTCTCAGAGACGCTGTTTGCAACAGATGCCTCAGATACAAGAGGAGCAGTTGTTTCTACTGAGGTCGGGTGCGAGGTGGTCCAACTCCTGAGCAGGTGTTTTAAAACAAAGGGCTCCTATACAAGACTGCAGTCATCTTGGACTTGCCTGCTGCAGAGGGTTGGTCTCTATGAGGAGTTGCCAGAGGAACATCCTGCTGCAAATGTCGAACGGCCTTTGGCTTACAGCTTTTCCTTTATTGAGATCTTTGCAGGCTCTTCAAGAGTTACAGCAGCTTTGTCGAGATTGGGCGTGGTTTGTGGTCCACCTATAGACCTTAGCAAGTCTGAGGAGTACGACGTCTCTCAGGTGCGTGTCATCTCTTGGCTTTTCCACCTGATCGAGCGTGGCTCTTTGAGAGGCTTTATGTTGGAACCTCCATGCACTACCTTCTCCATTATGAGGAGACCTGCGTTGCGGAGTGCTGAAGCTCCATTTGGATTCGATCCTCGTGATCCTCAGACCCGGGATGGGAATGTTTTGGCTCACAGATCGCTTCAGCTTCTCAAGAAGGCTGCAGTTCATAGAGTGTCAGGAGTTCTTGAGCGCCCCTTCACGGCGAAGACCAAGCATTTGCCCGCCTACAAGGCCATTCTTTCTCTACCACAGGCTTCCGAGGTTAGAGCAGACTCGTGCCAGTTCGGGTCGGTTCATCAGAAGTCATTTGCACTGCTGGGCATCAATATCGACTTGAGGCAGCTTCAGAGACGCTGCCGGTGCCAGACGAAGCATGTTCCAGTTGAAGGTGCGCGCACAAAGGCTTCTGCAATCTATACTCCCGAGCTAGCTTTTGCATTGGCTTGGTCATTCAGGCATGCAATACAGCACGTTGAAAGTTCAGACCCCCTCAAGGAGAACCTCCCGGTGCACGGCCTTGAGAGTCAGATTGTGAATGAGATCGTGCAAAGCAGTCATTGGGAAGTTCAAAATTCCTGGGCCTTCAAACGGAAGCAACACATCAACCTGCTCGAGCTGAAATCGGTAGAGAAGTTGGTAGAGAAGGTCTCAAAGCAATCGCCCCAGCGCATTTTTTGTTTGGTGGACTCAAATGTTTCCCGAGGTGCTTTGGGCAAAGGTCGTTCAGCTTCAAGGGCCCTTACAGCAGTTTTGAGGAGGATTGCTGCTATGTTGGTTGCCTTCGCTGTGTACCTCACGACCCCCTTCTGTCCTACACGTCTCAATGTGGCAGACGATCCTACCAGAGATCGTTTTTTTTAGGTCACTCGTGCCTGGGTTTGGCTGGAGGACTATGCCCTATAGAGAGTTGTGGGACATTGCATCGTTGCCGAGGACTCGACGCTGGGCTTCAAACTGGGTCAGGCTGATTCTTATTTTGTGTGGTCCTGCCATCACAAAGTTGAGCAATCGTTCTATCTACAGATCAACTAGGCTCCATGAACCGGTCATCTTCCAGGACCTGAACTGCTGTCCGGCTTTCTCTCAGCTCGACTTCAGCCTCATGGATTTTGACGCCTCTCTTGGCTTCCTGGGAGAGGGGCCTTGCTTTGGGCTCCTTCTCTTTCTCTTTCTCTCATTTCTTTCTCGTCTCGGCTCTTCCTTGTCCTTTGGATTTTCGCTTCGCATGCTGCTTGGACTTTGCTCTCTGGCCTTCTCCCCTGGCTTGCCGGGTCTGCTGGGTGCTTCCTCTCCTTGCTTGCTGGGTGCCTTAGCGATTTTCCACTTGCCTTTTTAGATCAATGCAATCCTCACCCGCTTCGGTAGATGTCTTTATGAGTCAGGGAAGCCATACAATCAATATGCGGAGACGATAAATCAGCTGACCACCTTGGTCCCTAGCCTGCGCCGCCTTATGCAAGGCTCTTGGGACCTTGCCTACACTTGGATGGCTTTGGAAACTACTTGTCACCATGTGGCCATGCCATGGCAAGTTTTGCTAGCTATGATTTCCACTTGCCTCCTTTGGGGTTGGTTGCCGCTGGCCGGAGTGCTAGCGTTGAGCTGGGGAGCCCTCCTGCGGGCCGGTGAAGTTTTGGCTGCAAGAAGATGTGACCTCCTCCTTCCTCGAGATGTTGAAGGTACTGTGAAGTTTTGCATTTTGGCCATTCTTGAGCCGAAAGCCCGGCAATCTGGCGCTCGCCATCAGGCGGCCAAACTCGAGATCCCCGATCTATTGGAAGTGGTGGACCTAGCTTTTGGGTCTCTACCTGAAGCTGCAAAACTATGGAGTTGGTCTGGACAGACACTAAGGCAGCGCTTTAGAGATCTTCTTTCGGCGCTCCTTTTGCCCCTGTCGAGATCTGGAAACCTGAAGGCCTTGGACATCGGCCACCTCCGCGCGGGCGGAGCCACCTGGCATTTGACAATGACAGAGGACAGTGAGTACACCAGACGCAAAGGTCGTTGGTTGAGCAGCAGGGTCATGGAGATCTACGTGCAAGAGACGACTTCCCTGCTGTTCATGAAAAAGATTTCTTTGCAGTCCCGTGAACGTGTCCTGGAGTTGGCCTCCTTGTTTCCTGGCCTCCTTGTGAAAGCTAAAAGGTGGAACCAGTTACACCTTCCTCCTTCCCTATGGAGGCACCTCTACCACCAAGAAGCTTGGGATGAGCGGGCATGACGGGACGTTTGCTGCACTCGAGACGACCGCAGCATGTGAGCCCGCCAAGGATGGAAAACAGAGCGCATGATTTGAATGGTTGAATTTGTAACCATGACTGGCTTTGTCGCTCCTCAAGCTTCACCCTCACCACCCTCCCACACTTGCTGGTAGAGGGGACGTTTGCTGCACTCGAGACGACCGCAGCATGTGAGCCCGCCAAGGATGGAAAACAGAGCGCATGACTTGAATGGTTATATATATATATATATAACTATATAACTATATAAGCATATAGTTTCTGTTCCACTTGGACACTCAAGGCTGGTTTGGGAGGCAAAGTTTGTTGGGAGACTGTGGTGACCGTTCCTCTGATCGAGGCAGAATGGAGTGATCTTTGTTCCGTTCGTTCGCTACCCTTGCTCCTAGTAGTAAGGCCAGGAGCCCCTAAGGAGCCCCTAGTAGCGTCCTTGCTCCTAGTAGCGATGCACTTGTTACTAGTAGCGAACATTGCTCCTAGGACAATTGCTGAATGCAGTTGAATCCTCATGAATGGATTCGGTCCTGTTGAAACAGCGTTGGTCAGCACACTCAGAGAAACTCCATGAAGCACTTCCACGTGACCCGCACCGGGTCAAGGAATGAACACGCATAAAAGAAGGAGAATTCTATGTTTATATTTTTTTTTCAATTCTTCTCATTTTTTACGGTACTTTTTTGAAAGGGGAATAACCTAGTAGCTTAGGTAGCTGCCATTATTTCACGCGGAAGGGCTCGAAGAACCCTTTGCATGATTGATTTGGTTCCTAGACTGTTCACAAGACTTAGGTTTTTTGGTATAAACATACGCAATGTAACATAGACCTTTCTTTCCTCCTTTCCCTTAGCATCTTGCAATTCTGGCGAGGGTTCCTCGTGCCTTCGTAACATTCTGTGTGGTCTTGGCTCAGAGGGGACCAGGCCGCGCGTTTCATTTTTTGGCATCGATTTTTGAACTATGAAGGCCTGGGGCGATACCGGGCATTCGTGTCTCCTGGCGTGGCACAATATCGAGGAGATCAAACCGGTTTGACCAGTGCTGATTTCACAGGATCATCACAGTTGCTGGCTGATTTTTGCCTCAGTTAGGAAGGTTTCATAGAGTCACCCAGTCTGAGACTAATACGGCAGGCCGCAGCTGTCACCGCCCGCGCTCTGGCGCGCGCCCGTGGTGCCCTGTCACCTCTCACCTTGGCACGACGGCCGTTACATGTCTCAGCCGCCAGGCAGGTGGTCAGGTGGTTTCGACGATTGCAGGTTTCAGCGTGTTGAGAATGGCGACCTGGACCAGTTGAGAAATTCGGCTTTTCCGCTTTCGTGCCGGCTATTTCTCGGGGGCGCCAGTGCCCGGGCGGCCGGGCGCTTTGGATGTCTGGCGGTCAGGACGGCGGCGAAGGTGAGCCCGGCGGAATTGACGAAGATCCTCAGCGAGCGGATCGCCAACTTCAAGGCGCTGTGGCGGCGTTTTCGTTCGGCGTCTCCGCACGGTTTGTCCGTGAGACTTGGATGGGATTGTGGGATGAAGAGGGCTTTTGAAGGTTGCACTTGCTGAGCAAGAGCACTTTTTCATACTTCTTCTATTGAAGGGCCATTAGATGGGACTAGCCCTTACAATTCATTGCGAGCACATGCTGCGGGCATCTCGGGAAAAAGCCAGGTTTGGTTCAGAAGCTGCGTCCAACTGTGCAGGTTTCCTCCCATAGGGTTTACACTGGGATACCGTATGAGTTGCACCAAAAAGCAAGTTTTCCAGTCCCATGTTGCCGAAGAGACTCCAGGCCAGGGTACTTCATGCATGTGGAAGTGGCATACTCTGTGGTGGATTTGCCCACCGCACAGACTCTACAGACATTGACCATTTCCTTTTCATGTCCTTTTGGGTGAATTGGACCATGGAGCTTTTCCACCGCGTCTCCGGCGTATCGGAGCGACTCCGCAGGACCAGGCGGATGTGCAAGAGGTGGGCCGCGTGCTCTCTGTGGGCGATGGCATCGCGCGCATCTACGGGCTGAAAGGCGTCAAGGCGCGGCTTGAGCGGCCGAGTTTCGGCGATTAGTTTCTATTTGAAGTCAGAACTGGCTGTTTATTTTGCTCTGAAAAGGACTTAGGGGGGCTGGGCCATCATGGTATATGGAGGACGAGGACATCCTCCATCCACCAGTGTTCTGGCAAATCGTTTGAAGATTCTTTTTGGAATGCTATCCCTGACATAATGTCAGTTTGGAGATGTTTTGCTTTTGCGAGGCTGGTGAGATGGTGGAGTTCTCCAGTGGCTTGAAGGGCATGGCACTGAACTTGGTGCCGTGGCTGTAATTTTCGGCGCCCCTGTCAATCGGCGCCCCAAAAAATATTCCACATGGGCCCTCTGGAGATGGCATGATTTTGCTGCAAGACCAATTTGTGAGGAAATACATGAAATACAATGATGGCATCATATGGCATCGATGTCATTGAGTTGAAGGGCATGCCTTTCTTTCCAAGAAGTGTAAGGTGGATTAGACATGAATGTATCTGAGAATGCATGTGCTTGGGTGGACTGCTGTAGCTGTATTGAACTTTCAGTGATACTGCTCTGTTTCATACCCGACGCAGATTCGGAGCCAGTAGACTTTTGCCCAGCTTTTTTGAGTCGAATCCACATTTACTGGTATTTTGGAATACAGCCTGCTAAATGATCCACAGCCGTCTTCCCCCATGCGCCTGCTCCCGTTCGCCGCGCTCGTTCTCGAAGCGTTCAGCGGTTCCTGCGCCTCGGCATCTTGCGACAAATTCTTCGTTGCCCAGGAAACCGACAACGTGGGCGTGGTGGTCTTTGGAGATGACCGAGCAATTGTGGAAGGCATCGCCAAGTGGTGCCATTTTCAGATCAGAGTGGTAGATCTGAGTTGGGATTCTTTTTGCATGGGGCCAGAATGGTCGAAAGCGCAGCTTCCACCAGAACAGTAGGTAGCACAGACCCAAGAACAGACTTAGTAGGGAAGAGGGGGAACTTAAACTTTCACGTGGAATCCCTGCTAGTATATATCTATGCACACAACTCGTCTTGAATCTTGATGAATATTGCTCCCAAGGCGTTCAGCGACCTCAATAAGACAGGTCAGCCTTTCACTACACGATTGGTCCCCAATCTCCACAAGACGTCCCTGAATGCGTGGACCGCACGCACGCCGTCCACGTGCTGCGAGGCGACAGCGTGAAATGCACCGGGACCATTGTGGATGTGCCCATCGGTGAGGAGCTGCACGAGCCCGAGATGGAGGGCGCCCTTCGTATGGAGGGCGGTCGGTCCCGAAAGGCGCACCATGCAGATTTTCTACTCTCTCTCATTTGTTGGGGGTGCAAGCCAAAATGAACGTGATCTGTGATCCCCTGTGTTTTTGGGTGAGTAGGGTGTAATGTTTTATTGTATAATTATTATTGATATGTTTTTTTCTTCCTGAAATCACGATCTGTGTGTTGGTGGACGTTGGGATGTGGAAGGGGTTATCTTTGGTCTTCAAGCTGGTCAATTGGAACCCATGTCGAAGTCTGCATGCAAAAAAAGTCCACGGTGTGGGCTAAACAAATCAGACCCACAGAGTCACATAGCCAAAGAGCCAGGAGATTCCGCATATTCTCGTTCTTTATCATGGAACGGAACAATTGGAGCACCAGAGACTTTTGACCTGTATACTGATATTGATATCTGATATTTGAGGATTGGAACTATACCTTTAAAACACTCAAATTTTCAAGAGTCTCGAAGTAGAACAACGTCGCTCATGCGAAAATGACCTCGAGTGAGAGGGTTGAATTTGTTCTTGAACAATTACACAGCTAGAAAGCGGGGGGGAGCAATGGGTGCAATTACAGTTGTGAAGAACGGTGAACATGTTGCAGCCATTGCTTGGAATTTCATGCTGCAGCCAGCTGCTCAGCACCTCGCCCGGCTGCTCCCGCTACTCGACGCGATAAAATTCGCCATGCTTGGAAAGTCTGTCTTCGTGGCTGCAGCTTTGCGTTGAGACAGTGCCGGGAGAGGTGGCGAAACTCAAGAACTCCACGGGAGGTATCTGAGGTTATCTAGGTTCTATCAATTCTGTTCAGGATTTTTCCATGGGTCTACTACGATCGGGCAGGGGGGCCCACATCCTACATTCTGTCACTGGAAGGCGGTACAGCTTCTGATTTTCTACTACATGGATAGACGAAAGCTGCATCCCAAATCTTAAACCCGTAAGTAGGACTCTTCTCTTTTAACTTTTCCAGCAGCTTGAGTTCAGGAGAGAATGTTCATCGAACAGGACTCCACATCCACACACTCCGCACCGAACTTAGGCAAGCCTTGGGATGGTCCACTTGGTGCCGTTCTTCTTGCAGCCCTTGCAGGCTGTGAAACAGCTGTCATGTGGGTTGTTCAAGGCATGAAAGGAACTTGCAAATGTAGCAGCAGCAACAGGTATTACAGGACATCTTGATCACCCTCTTATAGTTCTTGATGCAGTGAAAGGTAGCGTGGGTCATCTTTGTCAGTGAAACCGCGAACGATGAGCCAGGCAGCTTGGGGTTGGTCTGCCAGCATGCCGATGTGCACGCCCAAAGTGAACGGTGGTTGGACCTTCGCCGATGGTTCCACCACCATTGCAGCAGGCGTGGCAAGTTTGAGAAATGGCGCTTTCGTCGGGGGTTGATCGATCTCACGGGGGCGGAGCTGTCGGCGGAGCTTTTCTTAGTAACAGGTGCCACGCTAGTAGTAACAGGTGCCATACTACTAGTAACAAGAAGCTGGTAGTAACAATTAGTTTTGATCTTCCAACAGTTCGGCTTTATGTGGAAGTCTATGTTTTGTCTCAGGCACCTCGGCCAATGTGACCTGCAGCAACGGGGGTACACCATCAGTGATGACAGTGGTGTGCCCTGCAAGCACACCCATCAACAAGACAATGGACCCAGAGTGGTGGAGTCTATGTGGTGGTGGTTCGGCTACTTGGATGCTATTGGTAGCTTCTGCCATGTGCAATCGGTGGCACAATCAAGAAAAGGTTACCGGCTTATGACCTCCTGGCTAGTTGTAGAGCATCTGCCGCTGCTAGGGCTATTGCGTGGCCATATTGACCTTTGATGAATTCCCAAATTTGGGTCAAAATGACTTGTACCACGTCTGAGATTCGTGCTTGCTACTCGTTGCAGCCTTTTGACTGGGTTTCCTCCCAGTAAAACGACCTGAGGATTCCTGCCAAGCTAACAAGGAGATTGGCGATGATGTGCAGTGCACCGCTCCCGCGAGTGCAGCAGCCACCTGGGGTTTGAGCGCAACACTGGCTGCGTGGCTGCAAGAGTTGGCACTTGATTTGTAGATTGGTACTCATGTGAAGGATCTAGCTAGCGGTCTAAGACCCTCAGTTTGCTGAGCAATGGCACAAAATACTCATGTGACGGATGGTTCTTCAAAAGGGTTGATTGAGGGATTTGGGTCTCATCCGCTTTGGTGGACACGATCTCTGCTGAGGCTGCTTTCGTCCACTGTGCAGCTTGATTGTTGAGCCTTAAGCTACGATCAGGGCACAGCGTGACACAGCTGCCATTTTCCGTTGGGCAGTCCTTTTTGCCAAGATTCTTGTCTTAGGGCAAGGACTCTAAGAGAATCAGGTCAAGCTTTCGCGAGGACAGCTTTCAAAGACACTGTCCAGTCGCACCTGCATAGCTTCTTTCCCATTGAGAGACCGCGAAAAGAGTTGTGTGTGTGCTTTTTTTCTTTTTCTGGATGTCGGCGTTCTCTTGCAGACCAAGCTTGGCTGCACAAAAACTGTATATAAAGTTAAGAGACGAGCATGAGGATGCAATGCTCGCAACATCTCCGGTACACATATGTATGGAAGGAGATCATGATCACGTCACTGGACTGAATTATGATTGCGGTTTTCACTCTGCCAAAGACACTTCAATTTTTCAATATGGCCTCACTCCTGCAGTTCTACAGCTCCCCTCTCAACACCCCTCACTTGTGTCACTCCAAGAAAACCGAAAACCGCCAACGGCAACGATGCGCTTCCCGGTCTCACCCGGTCTCCCAGGCTTGGCCGTGTGGTGGATGCCTTGGGGACCCCCATCGATGGCGCGGGGCCCATCAACACCAAGGAGCGACGCCGCGTGGAGCTCAAGGCGCTACTGCGTGGCCGTGGCGTCAGCGGCGTTGGGTGTTTGGTGCGTCGATTTGGGGCCGTTTTGGCGGTTCCCTTGGTGCCTACTTCTTTTTGGGGTTCCTTTGTAGAATTGAGGAGAGGAAGGAATTTGGTTCCGAAGCGACAGATTCTCAAAGAAGTCCTGCGACATATGGGAACAATACTCTTGAACATTGAGAGATTCCAGGTGCCATGTGCGTAGAGCAATCGACATTTCAAGGATCTCATGCTTGGCTGGCAAAGCAAGGGAATGAGCTTCTTCGGACCGAGGAGCCGTTCTGGTTTGTTGGATGGAGCTAGACTCTAGACAGATGTAGAAAGACATCCCGTTCATGTTTAAAGAAGTCCTTTGGCGGTCACTAAAAAGGACACCCAACCGTCCGTTGCTTTTCGATCTGAGAGCAAGCAGATTTAGGCCAAACCGGGACGATTCCATGGACCAACCAGGACAGAGAAGTCTGTAGCTGCAACCTTCGGAGGTGATCATTCAACCAGGTTTGAATGCTTTGGAATGCTTTCACCCTTGCCTCCATGCATAGGAAGGAGGCAGTTGGAGGCTTAACACATAGCATATGGAACATAATATCCTTCAGCTAGCGAATTGATCATTGAGAACTTATTGCTTGCAAGACCATTACAGGAACTGAGCAAAGATATTGCCAGATATTGGAGCACATCCAGAAGATCACAGGTCGTCCAGTACATCCTCTGCACAATAGTTTGAGCTCTATGAACAGACTAACAGATACTAACACATTGACTGACGGAAGAGATGTCAATCTCCTGAAAATGAACAGGGATTCTGTCTACTTGACTTGCTAAAGGATTTCTTTCATAGCAGGTGGGTGAAGTTGGAATGAAGGACCTCATTTGCATGCTGGAAGCACATGATTCTGGCCCGCTCCCCACAACATTGCGCCAGGGAAGACATGTCAAAACACATTTTGTCGTAGAGCGATTGAGCGATGTTCGATCCCCTCAAGAGGTCTTCCACGCGTTACGCGTTCGCAGGCGCCTGGCATTATCCCCCGGCAATCCGTGCACGAGCCCATGACCGGGGAGAAGATAGAGGGGTGGTTCCGAGCTCTCCAGAAAAAGATGATCAAATGAGAAACACCCATTTACTTTCCTAAGAGCATTTCGTTGCCATGCCTATTTGCAGTTTTCATTGGCTCAAATTCGTAGATTACGAGGTGCTCAACCCCATAGATTCATGGCTGAGGAATCCATAGATGCAGGGTGTTTGTTCTTTTGAGGTGTCAACTGCCCAGAAGATCTTGGTGTTTCCTTTACGAACGTCAAACATAGTGTTCCTGGATGACTTAATCACTCGAGCAAACAAATAAGACTTGTTGGGCAATCGAGACGATGTATATTTTTGTGTATATATATATACACAGTTTGGAATCTTTCTTGAACAAGTTCCAAGTGGAGATTAGCTTTTTAGGTGGGATGGAGAGAATTAGTATTCGCCTGCTCGAAAGTTGGTTAGCCCATTGAGACTCTTTCAGAGCATAGCTAGCATAATACAAGATTTGGCAAAGAAAAAAACCACCAGGCAATTGGGGACTTGGGGAACTCATGTGATTTATTTATTTTTTTTTTAATAAGTAAATGTTCCCAACATAACCTTTCTCAAACCGGAAGACACCAACAGTTCGTGTCTGGTGCAACCTCACCCGGGACCAGCCCGAGCGACGACCGCGAGGACCACGGGGCTCAAGGCCGTCGACTCGTTGATCCCCATCGGCCGTGGGCAGCGAGAACTGATCATTGGGGACCGACAGACGGGGAAGACGGCCATCGCCATTGACACCATTTTGAACCAGAAGGCTGGGCCGAGTGGGCAGTGGGCGGTGGGTTTGGGGTGGGTGTGAGGGCGAGTTGGGGGATGGACGCAGATTTGGAGACATGGGTGTGGGATTGTGAGCGAGAAGGGATGGGAGTGAGAGTGAGTAAGTTCCACAACGATATCTACGAGAGTCTTTCCGATGTACGTTCTTGGAAGTTCTTTTTGAGAGGACCAAGGGCCGTTGCAGGATACGAGAAACGAAAGAAGTCACTGGCCATCTTATGAAGAGGCAAACATCCCTATGTAGGTGCTTTCTAGAGCTGAGGCCATGGTTTGAAGTCGATTGACGGTTTGGGAGGCTTGTTTGGAATAGGTTGCTACCAACCCACGACACCCATGGCCCCTCTTTCTTGGGGTTTTAGTGCTCTTAGACTCTTAGGTTCTGTATATCCCGATAACCCGCCCCCTTGTTTCTTGGCCACCTCCTCCGCAGGCCATTAACTCGTCTCCGGACAAATCTGCCCACCTCTACTGCATCTACGTGGCTGTGGGTTGGGAGAGCCCAGAGACTCCACAACAAAAATCAGTGGAAATGGGACAGGATCAGACAGGATCACCTGGTGGATGTCTGAAATCATGTCAGGTTGAAAGTGTCGTCCTGGGAGGCGGTAACCGCAATAGCAGAACATGGCCCCCTTCACTTCACAAGAGAACCGTCAGGTTTACAGAACATGGCAGCCCAACACACATCCCTCTTTGAACATGTGCTTCCGTTTGTTGCCCTGGCATGGTCCATAAGTTTGCTGAAAGGTCGTCGGGAACTCAGAAGTCGACTGAGTGGTTTCTGGTCACAGACGAAGCCTCTCCATCGTGGGACCCAAGAACGGATTCGCCGCTGGCGTACTAACTAGGGACGTCCATCACCAGCAAGTTGAAATGGTTTCAGTTCCTCACTGATGTGGCCGAACACTTTTTTCTCACATTGCAGAACCTGGGAACATCCCAAAGAGGAACTTCCAGGGTTCAGGTGACCTGGCTGAGAAACCTGTCACGTTCTTTGTGCTGGGCCTAGTGTTTGGGGCAACCCAAACACGTGTTTGGCTCTGAACCCAGTTTGCTCTTCTTGGACCGACCATTTTCCTGTCAAGCAATCTGTTATTGCCGTAGAATAAAATTCCATAACCGGCCATTTCTGCAGTATGTTGATGCGAGAGACAGGCATTTTCCGTCTCGTTCTCATGTCGAGGTCAGAAACGTTCCACGGTCGCCCAGCTCTTTGAGATCCTGCGGAAGAATGCCCGGGCGCTCGGAAGAACGCCCGTCGAGAAAACGACCGAAACAGTGGAACACCTCCTCTCCGAAACCTTCCGAAGCAGCGCTACCTATCTAACTTCCAAACCAACTTTGCTCGTGGTGAAAAAGGACCTGAACACAACGGTCCCAGGACTGCCTGAAGTACACGACGGTCGTGGCGGCCACTGCTTCTGATGCCCGGAGACTCGTGAACGTTGGGGAGACGCGTTAAGGCAAGGTCTTCAATATCGTCAGTGCTGGACGACATCTATTTTTTTGAAGATGTGGGACTTCAAAGTTCACCGTTCACCAAGATTGCGTGTGAGCGAATAGCAGAGGCGCGGTTTCACATCACAACCATTTGAACTATCCAGTTTTTGTTGGCAAGAACCGACGATTCAATGATCAGAATTTGGATGCATTTGGGTGGTGAATGAGGTGCAAAGCATGAAGATCTGACATGATTTGGGTTGTCAGAAGCCTGACAGTTCGAGGGCAAAATATATCTTCCCTTCAGATACCCTTGGAAGCACTTAAACTCACTTTTACAACATGACAATGGTGGTTTAGTACTTGGTTTTCACGGGAAACACCGAAACGACTCACTCTCAGGAGAGAAACCTCGTGAGAAAAGCGTCGAAACTCTGTACAATTTCTGGGAAGCTGGTGCCCACCACGGCAGCGGATGAAGTTGACCTCCACCAGGCTGCTGGTGATTCTGATTCTTCTCTCAGGCGGCTCCTCTGCAGTTCTTGGCACCCTACACGGGCTGTGCTATGGCGGAGTACTTCAGGGACAATGGCAAACATGCGGTCGGGCGGCCCCAGGAATCGGACGGAGAAGGCGTTGAGGAGTCAAGTCGAGATGTTAGTGAAGTCGCTGCTAGCCCCGGATGGAGAAGGGTTTTTGTGGGTGGTACAGCTGCTAGCGAAAGACCGTTTCGTTTCTGATTCTGTGTTGCAATCAGCTTAAAGCAGGCTGAAGCTGTTCACTTATCCAGGGTGACCTGCGAACCGTTTGACCACTCCCTGAAGCCTTTGGGTGAAGAACATGATCTTCTACCCCATTTCTCCCGTTGGTTCCTAACTAACCCTCCGGCAATCACAGTTTCGCTGTTGGCTGCTGGCCTCGGATCTTCCGGACGTCGTGCGGGCCGAGAGGGTCGGTGTCCGGCACCATTGCGGGCCGACAGGTGATCTTCTACGACGACCTGTCGAAGCAGGCCGTGGCCTATCGTCACTCGGCCAGGGGAAACGCAGCCGGCTCTTTCGTTGGTTTTAAGAAGGAACATGGGGGGTGTGAATGGTTGGGTCACTCAGGTGGAAAGGTAGACTTGGAACCAAGAATGCCTTAGATTGATGGATTTGCTGGGAGCCAAAGCAAACACAGGGAGGCCGGCCTCTAGTCAAGGACGGACAGACACAGCTCAGCTTCTGGAGTTCTTAAACAGAATCAAGGCTGCCAGGGTTAGGACAATCTCCAGGTGCGAACTTGCGGATCGATGCTTCTTTTCTGTGGGGTTGAACTACCGCGCACTGATTCAAACTTTGCATGCCCAGCGATGAGAATTCTTGTCACTTCAGGTGCGATTCTAGTCTTGTCAGCAGGAAACACTTCTATGCCTATGCCATTCTAGGATTCTATGTGCCAGAGGAAGGGATAGGAAGGGGTGCCTGTGAAATGGTCGGAAAGCTCATGATCACACTTGTTTGATGACCAAGGTCAGATGTCGCTGCTGTTGCGGCGTCCTCCAGGCCGAGAGGCCTATCCAGGTGCGGAGATCGCAGATTGCAGATGCCGTGATGGCACCGATGAGATTGTGACCTGTAGTATCCCTGTAGTTATGAAGTTGAATTGGACACGGGGCGAACACGCTTCAAAATTGAGCAAACTTATATAACTACTTGGTTGGTTGTCAAGTGGTCAAAGCACGTCAAAACCCCTATGAAGGCATTGGAGGCCTGCCAATCCGGTTTGCACTCTACGAAAGGTGATGTCTTCTATTTGCACTCTCGTCTCTTGGAGCGAGCCGCCAAGATGAACGAGGCAGCGAGCGACCGGGGAGACCGGGGGTTGACGGGTTGCACAGTGGGTGAGACCGGTCATGCGCATCGGTCTGAGGATCCCCACCTGGAAAGGCCTGCGACACGATTGCCATAGATTTATGGAGCATAGTCGTCGTTGGTTCGAATGACAATGTCTGCTATGAGAACAGAACTGCAGAATATTTTGCCCCAGAGATTCTGGAGAGGATTGACTCAGAGGAAAGCCATGTTGCAGCTTCTTCGACTGCCCCTTCTCTGGTTCTTTTGGTCACCCTTGGGTGGGTCATGTGAACTCAACCAGAACAAAACACACACACACACAAGTCACAGAAGTTTGGTACGTAAGAGACTGCCCGCCACATTCGCCCCGCGCCGTGCCCGCGCACGGCACCGGAGAGGACACCCACGGCGGTGGCTCGTTGACGGCGCTGCCGGTGATCGAGACCCAAGCGGGCGACGTGAGCGCCTACATCCCGACGAACGCCCGGGATGCCCACGTCCGGGGAAGTCCTGCGGGACGTGGGCCTTGGGGATGGAAGGATAGAAGGATAGAACGCGCTGGGGAAAATAAGAGATGAAACCGGTTTGGAGAGGTTCATTCTACTTTTGTTCAATTTTATGCTTGCAATTTTAGAAGATATCTTTTGCAGGTTTGGCTTGTGAAATGTCTTGCTGCCTTAGAACTCTTGGCTCCAATTACAAGTGGTGGTGGTGGGTGGGTGGTGGTTAAGTTTACATCGTCTTGATTTTTAGTTTCACCAGATGGGGTGCCGTCAAACCTTCGACATGGTCAGTGGAATGAGCTTGGTTCGACTCTGGTGAGTGTCCTCCACTGCAGCCAGGTGAGGTGGAGATGCACGCTTTATCGCAACCAGCATCACTCACCTGGAAGGATCGCTCTTGCTTTTCATCTGCTTAGAATCCTGTAAGGATCGTTTGAAATCCTGGATCAGGGATGTACGAGATGTACCTTTGTTTTTTTACGCTTCGAGCAGCCATACGGTACTAGCTGGTAGCTAATTAGTCGGGTGGTAATCCGGCCCCATTCGGGCCGAATCAGGAAGGGGAACACACAATTGCTCAAGCACGGGCCTCCACTGTTCGGGAAGGTCCGAAAGAGTGGCGGCTGAGCCAGGCCACTTCAAAAAGTCAGAGATGATCTCGGCAAGTACAGAGCAGAGGGCTGGGGGATAGGCTTTCAGCCTAGTAGTCAGCCATGCTCCTTGTGAGTCCTTGCCTATCGAAGTCGCTTGAGGCAACGCCTGTGTGATTCGGGCATCAAGTAACTTCCTTGCCACTCCAAATGGCGCGTTGCACATCATCAAAGAGGTAGGCTTCAGTGAAGGGACACCGTAGTGCCCCTGCCAAATATGATGAATGGAAACTCCCGGTTGAAGCAATAGCCAACGCACAAGAGGTATCAGCCAAATTGAAGCTGCTTCAGGTCTGGAGGGCACTTTGGGTGCTCAAGGAAGAAATACGCTCCAGCAATAAGAGCAATGATTGCCAGGTTGAGAGCAATGCCTAACAAGTCATTACCAATGGCAACTTGTCCAAATTCTTTCAACTGAAGGGCAGGAAGTCCTTTCAAGTGGCTGGCACTGCGAAGCGTCATAGGGCCTCTATCTCGTGCTCCATGGAGACGTGCCCTCGACCATGATTCACATGGTGGGCCACAGCCAGCAGCAACCAACAGGCCACAATGAAAAGCATCCCTAAATTTGGGGTATATTCCAGGTTTTGCCAGATTTCCGAGTTCCTCAGAAAAAACTATGTCGACGCTGAGCACCTTGACTTCATGAGGTTCGATCATAATGCGCTCCAAAAACTCTTGTAGGTCACCAGGACGGCGGTGACCCGAGAATAGGTGCGCGATCATGACCGGTTTATACGGCAGCGGTCTCATCACAAAACCTGCCTTTACTTTGTCCGCCAGCCATCGATCGACAATGTCAAGGGCGCGTTTGATCATGGCTACACCGGACGACGCACGCGCACGCGCCTGGGGTTCGGTCGTTCCCCGTACTAGCTGGGCTATTCTCGAGCCTTGTAGTAGATGTAAAAGACATAGATAGAAGTTGGGAAATTTATTGTAACCTCACTGGGATTTGCGCCTTGCGGAAACGATCGAATCTTTCAAACGTGTCGGGCCATCTCATCGTGTCTCACGTACAGCAGCCAGTGTTTTCAATGTTCGGTGTGGCGGCGGAAGTTGAGTGAGAGCAACCCATCGTGAGGTCATCTCCATCACGGATGGTCAGATCTTCTTGGAGACGGAGCTCTTCTACAAGGCCTCACAGCGACCTGCCAGGCGTCCACCTTCGGCGAAGGTGGACGTCACCTGGTTTTGGACGGGGAATGTAGTGAGCCCAAAGTTGGAAAGGTCAGATTCGATAACAGGGGTGATCCCGAGCAGGTCAGGAAGGTAACAAGCAGGGCTCCAGGCAAAAGGCTCAAGTAGCTGCGTTTGCGTTCAATGAAGCCGGTGAACGCAAAGCTGAGGATCCTAGTGGGTCAATTCGCCTGGATTCGCTCAAAACCATTCAATGTTGCTAAAAGGCGGGACTATGGCATTGGAAGGTTGAGGTTTATACAGACAGTTGACAGTAGTAGATCGTAATTTGCATGTTTTAAACATAGTAGAGAGTCTGAGAAAGTTGCGCTAACTTGAAAAGAGACACAGTCATCCCTGCTGTCAAGCTCCGCCGCCTCCAGAGATTTGCCGCGTACGCGAGGGTATCCGCCCCGCGGTGAACGTGGGTTTGTCCGTGAGCCGCCGGGGAGGGCCCAGACCTGACTCGGGCGTGAGGGGTCCAGGAGGGTCTGGCAGGAGCTGGAAGCATTTGGGGAAGGACATGTTTTGCAAAGGAATCATAGCAACTTCGAGAGTTGGATGGTGCTGGATGGGTGAAGTGAGAGTTATGCTGCTCTTCTTGATGAGAGTGGGCCCCAGTGCGCACACAGCTCTGAGCACTTCCAGAAAGTCAAAAAAATCCTGATGGGATGATACTTGATCTTTCCTATGACCGGGCTCTCGGGCATTTGCAAATCTACATGGGAAATATCCAGAAGTGATGGAAGCTCTCGACCCCTCGTTGAGTGTAAGCCAGAAGAGATTCCTTTGCTTCCATGGGGAACTTCCACATCCATCAGAACACTCGTGAGTTAATCGTGGGCGAAGTGGGAACCATAGGGCTCAATGAGTTTCACATCTCCATTGCTGTAGCCTTATTTCTTTTTTTTTGCAAACAAGGGAACAAAACCTTTGCTGACCTTGACCAATCCATATCGCGGGTGTGGAAAAGATACCTACAGTAGTATCAGAACCAGTTTGTACCTCAAACGCAGAGCATGTTTGTACCTCAAACAATCCATCCAGTGAAGTTTTGAACCCACATGAGTTTTCGACCCTGCTTGGAGCTCTGCCCGGCACCGAGGCGTGGGCTCCGCCGCTCAGATCAAGGCCATGAAGCAGGTGGACAACAGCGGCTGGAGCACCGACGCGTCATGGGCTGGGAAGACGGGCAAAGCCCCGACATGGAGACGAGACCCCCGATCTTGCGAAGACGTTTTTCCGGCCTCCTCGAAGTCGAAAAACATTCCGCAAGATCGATCCTCATTCCGTCTGATTGATGGTAAAAGACGTGAAAGATACACTCTCAAAATGAACGGGCTCTCTTTTTTTCTTCACCCTTGAACCATGTTCATTTTTTGTTCACCCTCCCTGTTTTTTCGACCCCACCCTAAAGAACCCTTTTTCCCTGCCTTTTGGAACCTTTATTTTCACCCTTCTAGAACTAAACCGTTTTTGTTTCACCCTGCACCCTGTCATTTTCACCCTGTAGCATGTGTCTTTCAACCTTCACCTTGTTTTTTCACCCCTCATCCTTTCTTCTTCACCCTTGCCCCTTTCTTTTCAAGCCACCGCCGGTGAGGCAGGTATCCCGGAACCTGTAGAGAGACTCCCCGGAACGATGTCACCTCCAGGAACTGACCTGGAAGTCTCTGGAACGTGAGTTGCGCCCTCCCCCACTCCTTGCGCCTGTATTTACAGAGCATCCATCCATCCATCCACCCATCCAAACAAACCATCCCACCAACCAAGCGACCAACAAACCAAGCAGGCCGAAGCAACCAATGCACCAACCAAAGGAAGGAGGGTTAAAAAAAGGGTGGGCAGCCCACCAAGCAACCAACACACCAAGCAACCAAGCCACACCACTCTGTGTTTGTCACCGATGCTGTTGATACTTGGCTTGCGACCAACAAACCAAGCATCCATCAATGGAGTGCCAACCAACCGACCAACCAGCCAAGCACCAAAGCGGCCAAGCCAACGAACCATCCAACACACCAAGCAACCAAGAAACCAAGCAACCAACGAATACAGAAACCGAACCGCGTAACTCTGTCGATGCTTGGTTCGCATGGCGTGGAAACAGAGCATCCATCCATCCATCCATCCATCCATCCACCCGTCCATCCATGCATCCACCGACGGAATACCAACTAGGCAACAAAGCGGCCAAACCAACAAACAATCCAACCAACCCAGCAACCAACAAACCAAGCAACCAAACCACATAACTGCGTGTTTTCCCCAAATGCTGTTGATACTTGGTTTGCATTGCGGGGGAGGCGCTGCGCCCTCCCCGGCACCCCCTCCCGCCTTTATTTACACAGCATCCATCCATCCATCCGTCCGTCCGTCTGTCCGTCCGTCCGTCCGTCCATCCAACAAGCAAACAAACAGAACAAGTTGCATAATTATCCATCAAGCACTGTATCACGCAATCCATCAACATCAAGCAAGCCGACCAACCAACGCACCAAAAAGCAGCACACTGTCCATGATCAATCAATCACTGTATCGCGCAATCAGTCAACATCAAGCTAGCCAACCAACCAACACACTAACCAAAGGAAGGTTTCAAATTACAGTGCAGCTTCGTCGCACGAAAGAACATTCGATTCAAGTGGGG